GTTTTAATGATTGTTTTATTGCTTGTGGATGCACTGTTTTTAATTTGATTTATGTCTAATTGTAGTGTATAATTGTAATTGTTTCTACTGGCATTGAATTTTGCCATTACTTATATATAAACCGCTTTGAGTCCCCCTCGGGGTGAGAAAAGTGGTATACAAATACTGTAAGTAAATAAATATAAATAAAAATGTAACGTTCGTTTGTGGGATTAACAGAACTCAGAAACCACTGGACGAATTGACATCAAATTTAGCCACAAGACACCTAACAACCCAATGTATGTCCTTCACTAAAAAAAAAAAAAGATTTTATCATTTGGGAGTTGTAGTTGCTGGGATTCATAGTTCACCTACAATCAAAGAGCATTCTGAACCCCACCAACGATGGAATTGAACCAAACTTAGCACACAGTTCTCTCATGACTAACAGAAAATACTGGAAGGGTTTGGCAGGCAGTGTCCTTTGGTTTTGGAGTTCACCTACATCCAGAGATGACTGTGGACTCAATGATGGATCTGGACAAAACTCTACACAAATACTCAATATGCCCAAATGTGAACACTGGTAGAGTTTGGGGAAAATAGAATCTTGACATTCAGCTGTTGTAGTTGCTGGGATTTATAGTTCACCTACAATCACAGAACATTCTGAATCCCACCAACGATAGAATTGGGCCAAGCCTCTCATACAGAACCCCCATGTGGGCCACAGCAACGTGTGGCAGGGGATGGCTAGTAAATAATAAATAATAACTGTTACCAGGTCCAAATGGCTCAGGAAAGGTTGTAGCTAGGACACTAAAAGTAATTATGCCAGCTCCTTATTACACCATCATGTAAAAATCCAGGGGCAGTATTCCCTCAAAAATACTTGCATCCTAGTCCCTGATTCACACTTTTTGGGATCAATCACACTTTCATTTTCTCTCGATTTTACATAGCTCATTCATCTTCATCTTGATTTATCTGAAACATTGGCTAAACACAATCTGCCTTGAAAGAGTTTCCTGTCAGACTCCAATATATACTCTGTTGGTGTTGTCATTTATTCTTTCAGTCACTTCTGACTCTTCGTGACCTCATGGACCAGCCCATGCCAGAGCTCCCTGTCAGCCATCACCACCCCCAGTATATACTCTACTGTATATTATAACGGTTGATTCTGACTGTCAGCTAGTTTTGTGCACTTGAAAGGATTTTGAAGATATATTGACAAAACAGCAGCTTTGAATGATGAATTGCAAATTGCTTTTAAAACTTAAGGGACTTTAAAAGCTGCATGAAATCTGCCAATCAATGAAAATGTGCTATCAGTTCCATTAGAGTACAGGACTATCTCGGCACCCCTTGCAGAGAGAGCAGAACACCCAAAGACCAAAAGTCTCCTGCCTGACTTAACTGGTGTGAACTTGGGGAGTGCCATGGACTTCTTGGTCAGGTTTAGATTTACTGGGACTCCCATACTCTGCAAAAGTGGGGGACCCATTAAGGTGGTCCACCCCAGGAGGCTTAATGCTCTAGGTGGATTCCTGTGATCCTTGGAGAGTTTTTGCTGCCTCAACAAGCAATTCTATCAAACTCCTGGTTGATTATTGGAATGCAAAAATGATCAGGGTGGTAGACATGATTACTCCTAAACATATTTTCCCACGTAGTGGAGCTAAACCAGACCTTGGTGTGGCCATAAGGATAACAAAAAAAAAAATATTATTTCCTCTAACACCATTGCGTCTTCACAGAACCATCCAGGAGAGCTGTTTTGGGTGGATTGGAACCTGTTACAATCTGCCTAAAAGAAAGTTTAAATCAGGGGTCCTCAAAATAAGGCCTGAGGGCCAGATGTGGCCCTCCAGGATCATTTACCTGACTCTCGCTCAGGGTCAACTTAAGTCTGAAACGACTTGAAAGCACACAACAACAACAATCCTATCTCATCAGCCAAAAGCAGGCCCACACTTCCCATTGAAATACTAGTAAGTTTATATTTGTTAAGATTGCTCTTCAATTTAATTACTATATTGTTTTTAAGTGTTTTGCACTACAAATAAGATATGTGCAGTGTGCATAGGAATTCATTCACATTTCTTTCAAATTCTAATCCAACCCTCCAACAGTTTAAAGGACTGTGACCTGGCCCTCTGTTTAAAACGTTTGAGGACCCCTGGTTTAAACCATTCAGCAGCATGCTACAAAAACTGCACATTCACTGTGCAATTGAATTTGCTTGGAATCACTCTGACTTGAATGCCAGAGTTGATACAGATCCAGTAAATTTGGCCCATGGCTGCTTACTATTGATTTTATACTTTCCAATGGATGTGGACAGTATCCCTGGAGAAATAAGAGCTACTAAATGTGTACTACACTTTTGCCTTTCCTAGTCTATTAAACCGGCCAGAGGGGGTCTGACTGAGTGCATAAGGAAAGTTATTAATGTCTCCAAACAACAAATAACAAGGAATGGTCCTAAAACACCTGAAAGAAGCTGTTGTAAAACCCAAATTTGGGGGGGACGGGATAACTATCTCATTCTTGGTTAAGATACTGGAACATATGATAGCTTTGTAACTTCAGGGTTCCTGGACTATCTCTAGAATGATTTCAGCCTGCTTCTGGCTATTGTTATTTATTTATTTATTTATTTATTTATTTATTTATTTATTTACTGGCTTACTTATTTACTTACTGTATTTGTATACTGCCTTTCTCAGCCCGTAGGCAACTCAAGGTGGTTAACAGGGTAAAATTCAATGCTTACAATATCATAAATACAATTAAAAACATAACATATAATAAAAATTGAACATATCAATAAAATATAAAGTCATAGTGTCTCCTTGTTAAAAACGTTGTCCGGTCTCATAGTCGTCGTTCCATTTTCCTGTGTCAGTTACTCTGCATTTGGAAACACTTGTTCAAAAAGCCACATCTTGAGTTCTTTCCAGAATGTTAAAAGGGAGGTGGCCATCTAATATTTATAATAGGGCGTTCCACAGCCGAGGGCGTTCCACAGCCGAGGGGCCACTGCCGAGAAGGCTCTATCTCTCGTCTCTGCCAAACGTACTTGTGACGAAGGCGGTAACGAGAGCAGGGGCTCCCCAGATGATCTTAAGGTCATAGATGGTTCATAAGGGGAGATAAGTTTGGACATGTTATGGAACAGAGACAGCTTTGGCCACCTTGGTAGATGACCTACACCAGAGTCCTTTAGTGATTTTCAATGTCAGTGACCATCGTTTGTCAACTCACTATGATAGGTCTTGGAGGCACTCTTATACAATGGTTTTGTTTTTTCCTGGAGGGGCACTTTCAGGGGGTTTATTTATTTATCGTGTCATCAGCAACCATACCATTGTGTTACAATTCTAATAGAACAAAACAAACACACAGATTAAAAAGAAAAAAAAACACAGATTTTGCAAACTTGGTAGTTGGTTAAATGTCCTTTGACCAGTATCTGGCCACTTGGGAGAGCCTCTGGTGTTGCCGCAAGAAGGTCCTCCATTGTGCATGTGGCAGGGCTCAGGTTGCACTGCAGCAGGTGGTCAGTCGTTTGCTCTTCTCCGCACTCGCATGCCGAGGATTCCACCCTGTAGCCCCATTTCTTAAGATTGGCTCTGCATCTCGTGGTGCCAGAGCGCAGTCTGTTCAGCGCCTTCCAAGTCGCCCAGTCTTCTGTGTGCCCAGGGGGGAGTCTCTCATCTGGTATCACCCATGGATTGAGGTGCTGGGTTTGGGCCTGCCACTTTTGGACTCTCGCTTGCTGAGGTGTTCCAGCGAGTGTCTCTGTAGATCTAAGAAAACTATGTCTTGATTTAAGTGTTGACGTGCTGGCTGATACCCAAACAGGGGATGAGCTGGAGATGTCACTGCCTTGGTCCTTTCACTATTGGCTGCTACTTCCCGGCGGATGTCAGGTGGTGCAATACCGGCTAAGCAGTGTAATTTCTCCAGTGGTGTAGGGCGCAGACACCCCGTGATAATGCGGTATGTCTCATTAAGAGCCACATCCACTGTTTTAGTGTGGTGAGATGTGTTCCACACTGGGCATGCATACTCAGCAGCAGAGTAGCATAGCGCAAGGGCAGATGTCTTCACTGTGTCTGGTTGTGATCCCCAGGTTGTGCCAGTCAGCTTTCGTATGTTATTGTTTCTAGCACCCACTTTTTGCTTGATGTTCAGGCAGTGCTTCTTGTAGGTCAGAGCACGGTCCAAAGTGACTCCCAGGTATTTGGTGTGCTGCAATGCTCCAGTGGGATTCCTTCCCAGGTAATCCTCAGAGCTCGGGATGCTTGTCTGTTCTTAAGGTGAAAGGCGCATATCTGTGTTTTAAATGGATTAGGGATCAGTTGGTTTCCCCTGTAATAGGCAGTAAGAGCACCTAGAGCTTCGGAGAGCTTCTTTTCAACCATCTCAAAGCTCCCTGCTTGAGTGGGGGTGGTGCTTTCAGGGGGTGGTGCTGGGGAGTCCCTCAATATTCAATCCTGTTTCCTATGCTATTTAACATCTACATTGAAAGTGTTGGGAGCTTTGGGTTGAGGTGTCCAATATGCTGATGATACCCAGTTGTATCACTATTTTCTATCTTATTTCAAGAAAGCTATTCGTGTGTTAAGCTAGTGCTTGGCTGTTGTAATCAACTGGAAGAGAGTGAGTACATTAAAGTTTAATTCAGACAATACAGAAGCGTTCCTGGTCAACTGAAAGACCAATCTGACAACAGGGATTCAGTCTGGAATAGATGGGGTTATCCCCTCCGATCAAAAACACAAGTTTGGTGGTACTCCTGGTATTCCACAAAACACAGTATGAAAATATGAAACAAATGTGATGATACAACCCTTGTAGAATGATTTGGATGACTTGAATTTTGTCCCATGAGACAAGCTGGAAGTAATTGTGTCCTGATACAAAATTCCAATTCCATGCATGTTTACCTATTTTATTTTTTACAAAGAAGTTCTTTGTAAATTCCACAAGATATAAACCATGCTTACCTTCCAAAGATTCTATACCAGTTGCTTGTGCCAGCAAGTCCTCATGTCTTGCAACTACCTGCAAAGTAAAACTATTAATTATTATCTGAACACTTATAAAAAAAATAAACATTGTCACCTGGCACATAATCTGCCTTTTGAAAAAGCATTATTTTTCTCTCTGAATTCTGGTCTACATTTGCATGTCTATATGAGTAGTAAGACATACCTTTTAGAACAAGTAATCAGTGTTCATATTTCACTCATTACAAATAGATCTTAACCTACTTCAGACACAAAACAGTATCCTTCATCCAAAATGTTTTAAACCAAATGTTTTTCAGATTTTTTTGTTTTTGGAATACCTATATTTGCATATACATAGTGAATGAGAGATGGGGAAAAGGTGGCTAGCTACACAGTCAATGCCCACTGAATATTTCTTAAGGAGATTTTACTCCACAAATATCATTTTCCCATGTAAAAGCATACATCAGGAGAGGGAAAGGCCAAATGCATCTGGCTGAAATGGGATTGGGAAATGTTGGAAAGGTCCAGCTTCCTGGCCAATCAAAACTGGGCTCTCTTTCTGCCCAGCCAAGGGTAGCATATGATGGGCTGGGTGCCCTGGAAATGGGGTGCAAAATAGATTACACCAGCAAAAGAGAAGTTCAGATAGTTTAGGACAGTCCAGATGGCATCAATTGTCTTATGCCTCATCAAATTTCTTATAGTTGTGAACAAACCTACTCCATCTTTCTTTGATTTGGGATTGATATTTTTGTGCTTTACTAATAATAACAATATAATATATTGTATATACATATAATATTTATAATATTATAATGTAATACAATATAATACTACTACTAATAATACACTATTATAATTATATATTTTATATTACCTGTAATATTACTAATAATATTACAATATAATGGTGTAGTACACTATTGTAATATATAATACTGATATTGTACTATGTTTATAATTTAATATATTGTATGTATATATTTCTCGTAAGCTGCTCTGAGTCCCCTTCGGAGTGACATATAAATGTCGTAAATAAATAAATAGATAAATTTTTCCTTCATGGAGAGTGCATTCTTGTAGAAAAGATACGAATAAGAAACAAATGTATTTATTTTATGAAAGCATTCATATCCTACCCTTTAATAATAATAATAATAATAATAATAATAATAATAATAATAATCTTTATTTATACCCTGCCATCATCTCCCCAAAGGGGACTCGGGGCGGCTAACAAAAGGATCCCAAAGTGGTGCACAATGAAGTCAACTTAAAATGGTAGAAGTAATTTAAACAGGCTTCATGTATATCAAACAATTTTAAAAGAAGACACAATCATGTTGAAACGTTTTCTTTAAAAAGCAGAAATTCTAATTTGGATTAAATCAATTAGGTCCCCAAAACGTTAATGAACAGCCATATTTTTACTTGTATTTTTATTTTATTTGATGATTGGTTTCTTGACTGATTGATTGATTGGAATTCTATCTTGCCTTTCATTCAATATGGTATTCAAAGCAGCTTACAATATAAGTTAAAACAGCTAAAACATGCTTTTCTGAACTTGTACAATATTAGAGAAGCTGACATTTAAGTTTTGATCCTTTAGAGGCAAATGAGATTATGACATTTTTGAGATCACATTGTATCATATGTCATATGTAAATTCTGATCATGGCCCACTATTGAAACATATGATGTTCCAGATGCTACCATGGTGAACATCTTTAGACGCTGATTGGGATCATCCATATATAAATGTGCTAAAAATAATTGATTTTGCAACTAATGAATACTAAATTGGGAAAGCTTAAAAGGAAACAACTAAATCCTGTTTCTGAACTTCATTGAGACTCTTTCACTTCATTTTTAATTCATTGTGTTTATACACATTGGTAGTATTATGGCATCTTGGAATTTGCAGTTTAGGGAGGGACCTTTAGATTTCTCAGCCAGAGATATCAAGTGCCTCTGACCAAATTACAAAGATTGTGGCCCTGGCAGCTAAAATTGAATCACTGAACTGTAATTGTGGAGTGTATGAAAATACCTTAACTTTCTGCAGACCCTGATGATATGCATGGCACTTACTTGCAAGTGGAGTTCTTTATCCAGCTGACTGATCCCTTGAGCAAGCTTCGCTAATTGTTCAGCTATAACAGCTTGATGGATAGATTGCGAAGTGTATGCCTTCACATCAAAGTCTTCCCGTAAAAAATCTGCATAGCATTCTGAAAAATAATTAAAAATGGAACATTTGAATTTGTTTTCTTCTAATACTGTAAAATAGATATATTTTATTATCATCAAAATAGTTTTTGTATACATAAAAGCAACACTTAAGGAAAACAATCTATCTATCTATCTATCTATACATACATATAAAAAAAAGTCAAAGTTTGTATGCGGCGGAAGTGTGGCGGTGTATGTGCCGGCTTTCTGATTGGCTGCTGCTGTGGTGCTATTTGCATATGGTCTCTGATTGGCCGGCTTCAAGAGGAGCCGCTGGTGGAGAAAAAGGTTCATGACAGAAATGGAGACATGAGAGAAGGAAATTTGCATATGGTCTCTGATTGGCCAGCCACAATTCCAAGATTCCGAAATGACAAAGAGAGGAAAGGAAAAGGCCAGGGGCTGAGTCAGAAAATAACCAATACAGACCAAACTTGGCACACAGAGCCTGCAAGACCCACTCGACATCCTACTGCAATTTGGAAAATATGAACCATGGATGATGGGACTTGCAGTGCCATCACTCACATTCTGAGACTGCTGTTAACCTCATCCAATGACTGATCAGGACCAAACTTGGCACATAGACCTCTCATGACCCACTTTACGTCCTGGTGTGGTTTGGCTGGGGATGGACCATGCATTATGGGACTTGCAGTACCTTTGCTCAATTCTTGAGACCACTGCAACCCTCATCCAATAACCGATAAAGACCAAACTTGGCATACTGAGTCTCCATGACACACTCTACATCCTGGTGCAGTTTGGAGGAAGATGCACCATGGACGATGGGACTTGCAATACCTGCACTCCCTTCCTAAGACCATTACAACTGCCAACAATGATGGATAAGGATCACAATTTACACAGAGAGCCCACATGACCCACTCTACATCCTGGTGTGGTTTGGAAGAATTTGTCAATGGATGATGGGACTTGTCGTCACTTTACTCACTTCCTGAGACCACCGAGACCCTCGCCAATGACTGATCAAGACCAAACTTGGCACACAGAGTCCCCATGACCCACTTTACATCCTGTTTCACTTTCGAGGAGGACAGACCATGGATGATGGGACTTCAAGTACCTCCACTCCCTTCCCAAGATGGCTGCAACCCTCATCTAATGTCCAATCAAGACCAAACTTGGCACACAGAGCCCTACTCTACATCCCGATGCTGTTTGGAGGAGGACGGACGATGGATGATGGGACTTCCAGTACCTTCACTCACTTCCTGAAACCACAGCGACACTTATCTAAATACCAAGAAAGACCAAACTTGGGACAGAGAGCCCCCTTGGCCAACTCAACATTCTGGTGACGTTTGGGGGAGAACAGACTACGGAGGATGGGACTTGCAGTTCCTAAACTCACTTTCTGAGACCACTGTGACCCTCATCCAATGATTGATCAAGAACAAAACTTAGTACACAGAGCCCCCACGACCCACTCTCCATTCTGGTGCAATTTGGGGAAGGATGGACCACAGATGATGGGACTCGCAGTACCTTCACTAACTTCCTGAGGACACTGCAAGCCATATAAATAACTGATAAAGACCAACCTTGATACACAATTGCTTTCTCAAATAACCCAGGCAGCGCCGGGTCCCCAAGCTAGTCTATATAAATAAAAATGTAATGTTCGTTTGTGGGATTGCATAACTCAAAAACCACTGGACGAATTGACACCACATTTGGACACAATACACCTATCGGGCCAATGTGTGACCATCACTCATAAAAACACTGAAAAATGTGTAAAAAGCCAAAAAACAAAAATTACATTGCAACGCATGTGCAAAACCACACACACACACACACATATATATATATATACACGGAAACACACATATACACAAATATATACAAACACATATGCATACATATACACAAAGAAAACACATATACACAGACTGGGCCACAGCAACGCGTGGCAGGGGATGGCTAGTCTAAACATAAAATAACATACAAAAAACAACCTAAGCAAACTATAGTACAGCTAAATAAAAAAGAAACAGTGACTTCCACCTTCTAAACTCATGGTTATAATTATCTAGTTAATGAACTTCCTTTAAATAAAAAATTGAACTGCACTACCACACCAAGCATATGTCTACTATCTCTCAAAATCTACCACATATTATATGCCCTGCATTTTCTCAAAAAGTTAATATCTGTTTTTAAAAATGTCAATTGATCAAACTTCTGCTACTTCATATATTTTCACCATCCAATATTCTGTAGTATCTTTCCATTCCTGAGCATATAAAAGTCTCACTGTTGTCATTGTATATACTTTCTTTCCTTCCATTGTTAAGAGACATGCCAAGTGCTTTTCTGATCTTTCTCTGTACACATTGAATGTCTTCAAAGAATAAATCTAGAAGATCAACTATTTCTCTGATACAACTATTTCTCTAATACATTTTAGGCATCCCTTATCTAAAATGCTTGGGTCAATAAGGGCAGTCGCAAGGAAGAATGGATTCACTTTGACATCACTTTACCTGTTATGGCTTAATACAATAGAATGCTGCAATTTGACAAGGAAGGCTCAAGATCTTAAAAGCTCAACTCCCATGATCACATAGCATTGAGCCACAGCAGTTAATGTGGTGTAAAACTGAATTCTATGGTGTAGATGCACCCCAGGAGTATTCATATTTTTTCATATTTTAAAATATTTGCCTTCTAATAATAGAATCATAGAATCAAAGAGTTGGAAGAGACCTCATGGGCCATCCAGTCCAACCCCCAGCCAAGAAGCAGGAATATTGCATTCAAATCACCCCTGACAGATGGCCATCCAGCCTCTGTTTAAAAGTTTCCAAAGAAGGAGCCTCCACCACACTCCGGGGCAGAGAGTTCCACTGCTCGCTGGAACATCCCAGCAAGCGAGAGTCCAAAAGTGGCAGACTCAAACCAGAACCCCAATCAATGGCTGATACCAAATGAGAGACTCCCCCCTGAGCACCCCCAAAACTGGGTGACTTGGAAGGCGCTGAACAGACTACGCTGTGGCACCATGAGATGCAGAGCCAACTTTAAGAAATGGGTCTACCAAGTGGAATCCATGACATGCGAGTGCGGAGAGGAGCAAACCACTGACCACCTGCTGCAATGCAACCTGAGCCCTGCCACATGCACAATGGAGGACCTTCTTGCGGCAACACCAAAGGCACTCCAAATGGCCAGCTACTGGTCAAAGGACATTTAATCAACTACCAAGCTTGCAAACTTTGTGCTTTGTTTGTTTGTTTTTGTTAAAAACTAGCTGTCTCCTGCCACACGTTGCTGTGGCCCACATGGGGGTTCTGTGTGGGAGGTTTGGCCCAATTTTATCGTTGGTGGGGTTCAGAACACTCTTTGATTATAGGTGAACTATAAATCCCAGCAACTACAACTCCCAAATGTCAAGATTCTATTGTCCCTAAACTCCACCAGTGTTCACATTTGGGCATATTGAGTATTCATGTAGAGTTTGGTCCAGATCCATCATTGTTTGAGTCCATAGTGATCTCTGGATGTAGGTGAACTACAACTCCAAAACCAAAGGACACTGCCCACCAAACCCTTCCAGTATTTTCTGTTGGTCATGGGAGAACTGTGTGCCAAGTTTGGTTCAATTCCATCGTTGGTGGAATTCAAAATGCTCTTTGATTGTAGGTGAACTATAAATCCCAGCAACTACCACTCCCAAATGACAAAATCATTTTTTTTTTAGTGAAGGACATACATTGGGTTGTTAGGTGTCTTGTTTCCAAATTTGGTGTCAATTCGTCCAGTGGTTTTTGAGTTCTGTTAATCCCACAAACGAACATTACATTTTTATTTATATAGATCAGTGGTTCTCAAGCTTCCGAATGCCGTGACCCCTTAATGCAGTTCCTCATGTGTTGGTGACCCCCAACCATAACATTATTTCCATTGGTACTTCGTAACTGTAATTTTGCTCCTGTTATGAATCGTAATGTAAATATCTGATATGCAGGATGTATTCTCATTCACTAGACCAAATTTGGCACCAATACCTGATATGCCCAAATGTGAATGCTGCTGGAGTTTGTGGGGAGGGGGGGATTCATTTCGTCATTTGGGAGTTGTAGTTGCTGGGATTTATAGTTAACCTATAATCAAAGAGCATTCTGAACTCCACCAACAAAAGAATCAAGCCAAATTTGGCACTCAGAACTCCCAAGACCAAGAGAAAGCACTGGAAGGGTTTGGTGGGCATTGACCTTGAGTTTGGGAGTTGTAGTTCACCTCTATCCAGAGAGCACTGAGGACTCAGACAATGATGGATCTGGACCAAACTTGGCATGAATACTCAATATTGCCCAAATGTGAACACTGGTGGAGTTTGGGGGAAAATAGACCTTGACATTTGGGAGTTGTATTGGCTGGGATTTATAGTTCACCTATAATCAAATAGCACTCTGAACCCAGCCCAAAATGGATCTGCACCAAACTTGGCACACTACCAACATGGCCAACATTAACTACTGGTGGGGTTGGGGGTTGTCATTCACCAACACCAACAGTAGTTGGTGTTGGTGAATGAACTACTGAACTACTGGTGGGGTTGGGAGTTGTCATTCACCAACACCAACAAGGATGAGGACAGGCAGAGAGATCTTCAGCCTCCTCTGCCAAAAGGGTTCCTAAGACCATCAGAAATATGTGTTTCCTGATGGGTTTTGGCGACCCCTCTGAAACCACCTCACGACCCCCCAGGGGTCCCGACCCCCAGGTTGAGAAACACTGATATAGATGTAATACAAATGTCTGGTTGCTCCTGATATGATAAATAAATGAATTATTATTTACTATTAATTATTATTATTATTAGAGGAGTGAATGTCCCTTCCTAAAGATAGATTTCTCTCCCTTTCTGATGTCTCACCCTCGTTCTTAACTGTGAGTCGTTTGCAAGTAGGATAGCTGTAACTCGGGGACTGCTTGTATCCAGATCCAGGAAAAGCTGGGAAACCTCTGTCAGGGGGAAATTCAGAGGGAGGACTGGTTTCCTCGGCAAAGGAAGTGTCAAGAGACCAGACACAACCAACTCCTAAAGCACACCTGAGGGAGCACAAGGAAATGGACTTCTGAGGAAACACACCGCCATTTCCTCCTGCTGCTGCCTCCCCTGACAACCTCGCCGCTCCCCACAACCCCCTTTCCTTCCTCTTACCGTCCCCGAGAAGCTCCCCAACCGCGGGCTCCGGAGGGGCTTCAGGCATCCCGCCAGACCCCACCGCGCTTCTCTTCCCTTCCATGCTGGCGTTTGCCAGCTCCGCCGTGACGCACTAATCCCGCGACGCGCCGACAGCCCGGCGGCCCATAGAACTAGGAAATAATAGAGACACAAGCAAACCTAGCTGATGTGCTCCTTTAGGAGGGAAAACGTGGCAGCCCTCTAGATCAGAATGAAGTAGAGTCAGAAAGACCAACTGGGAGGAGGGATTCCCAAATGCTAGGTTTTATTTTCAGAACTACAATTTCTGATATCCATCTCTGTGCGGATCATAATAAATTGTGGCAAGTTCTTGGTAGTATGGGCATACCAAATCACCTTGTCTCTCTCCTGAGGAATCTGTATAACAGTGGTTCTCAACCTGGGGGTCGGGAACCTTGGGGGGGGTCACGAGGGGGTGTCAGAGGGGTCACCAGAGACCATCAGAAAACACAGTATCTTCTGTTGGTCATGGGGGTTCTGTGTGGAAAGTTTGGCCCAATTCTATCTTTGGTGGGGTTCAGAATGTTCTTTGATTGTAAGGTAAAGGTAAAGGTAGTCCCCTGACATTAAGTCCAGTCATATCTGACTCTGGGGTGTGGTGCTCATCTCCATTTCTAAGCCAAAGAGCCAGCGTTGTCCGTAGACACCTCCAAGGTCATGTGACCGGCATGACTGCATGGAGCGCCGTTACCTTCCCGCCGGAGCAGTACCTATTGATCTACTCACATTTGCATGTTTTCGAACTGCTAGGTTGGCAGAAGCTAGGGCTGATAGCGGAAGCTCACGCCGCTCCCCGGAATCGAACCTGCGACCTTTCGATCAACAAGCTCAGCAGCTCAGTGCTGTAACCCACTGCGCCACCAGGGGCTCCTCTTTGATTGTAGGGGAACTATAAATCCCAGCAACTACAACTCCCAAAGGTCAAGGTCTGTTTCCCCCAATCTCCACCAGTGTTCACATCTGGGCATATTGAGTATCCGTCCCAAGTTTGATCCAGATCCATCATTGTTTGAGCCCACCATGCTCTCTGGATGTAGGTGAACTACAACTCCAAAACTCAAGGTCAATGCCCACCAAACCCAGTATTTTCTGTTGGTCATGGGAATTCTGTGTGCCACGTTGGGTTCAATTCCATTGTTGACAGAGTTCAGAATGTGCTTTGATTGTTGGTGAACCCTAATATAGCCCAGCAACTACAACTCCTAAGTGATAAAAACAATCTCCCTCAACCCCACCAGTATTCAAATTTGGGTGTATTGGGTATTTGTTCCAAATTTGGTCCAGTGCATGAAAATACATCCCTCATATAGAATTCATAACAGTAGCTAAATGACAGTTATGAAGTAGCAATGAAAATAATGTTATGGTTGGGGGTCACCACAACATGAGGAACTGTATTAAGGGGTCACAGCATTAGGAAGGTTGAGAAACACTGCTGTATAAGGACCAAGTAGCAACAGGAAGAACTGACTATGGAACAACAGACTGGTTCAAGATTGGGAAAGGCGTACGGCAGGGTTGTATCCTCTCACCCAACCTATTCAACTTGTATGCAGAACACATCATGCGATGTGCGGGGCTTGACAAATGCAAGGCTGGGGTTAACATTGCTGGAAGAAACATTAACAACCTTAGATATATTGTCGAAGGCTTTCATGGCTGGAATCACTGGGTTGTTGTAGGTTTTTTTGGGCTATATGGCCATGTAGCCCAAATTGGACATAGTATTCTAGGTGTGGTCTGACCAAGGAAGAATAGAGAGATAGCATGACTTCCCTGGATCTAGACCAGTGGTTCCCAACCTTTTTTTGACAAGGGAGCACTTTGACCATGGATTGCTCTCCTACATTAGTACCAAAAGGGTTACAAATCAGTTTTTGGTCAACGTAAGATTCGGTTTGGTTATTTGAGGTGCTGATTCAGGAAATTGTATTTGATAGACCACATCAGCTATAGTTTGTGATACAGAACAAATGCCATCCAGTAGTTGCCACCTGCTTGCCCTCGGAAAACCATATTTAATAATCTAGAGCTGATGTGATCTATCCAATGCAATTTTCTGAATCAGCACCCCAAATAATCTCAGGAGCAGGCCCTGGCGCCAATTTTCCCCAAATGTGTCATGGACCTTATTTTAGCTCTCACGGCCAACAGTGGGCTGTGGCCCACAGGTTGGGAACCACTGATCTATACTCCTATTTATGCAGACCAAAATCCCATTGGCTTTGTTAGCTGCCACATCACATTACTGGTTCATGTTTACCTTGTTGTCCATGAGGACTCCAATATCTTTTTCACACATACTGTTGTCGAGCCAGTCATCTCCTGTTATGTATCTTTGCATTTCATTTTTTTCTGCCTAAGTAGAGTACCTATATTGGATTGTTATTGTATATTATTATCAAATATAGGAGCCCCCGGTGGCACAGTGGGTTAAACCCCTGTGCCGGCAGGACTGAAGACCGACAGGTCACAGGTTCGAATCCGGGGAGAGACGGATAAGCTCCCTCTATCAGCTCCAGCTCCTCATGCGGGGACATGAGAGAAGCCTCCCACAAGGATGATAAAAACATCAAATCATCCGGGCGTCCCCTGGGCAACGTCCTTGCAGACGGCCAATTCTCTCACACCAGAAGCGACTTGCAGTTTCTCAAGTCACTCCTGACGACCAAAAAAAAATTCAAATATACAATTTCTTTCTGTATTCAAGTTTGATTTCACTTACCAAATTAAACTCTTAAGAGAAAATGAAAGATCAGAAAGATAAAGACTTTCTCAAAACTTTATTTTGGAAATCTTTTTTTTATAAAATTGATATGTGTAGCCTCACCACAGTATTGATTCTGTGTGTATCCATTCTGTTACTGAATAAACCAAAACACCCATCAATTTGAATGATATCCTTTTTTATAATAAGGCACTAGTTCGACTGACATTTTTCATCAAGTACACAAATACCAGACCTTCCAAGGAAGCTCACACCAAGCAGCTGATACATAGAACAATTCACTGGCATAACGTCAATGCTGTTAAAAAGCTTTGGATTTTAACTCCTGTTTTATTAATCTCTATCACCACTAGCAGTGTGTACCTCAAAACCAGTTTTACCAGATAAACATCTCATTTTTAATTTCAAATTGACAACACTGATGTAATACCCAAGTTTATGATAGTACAGTATCCAACCAATTTCATCATAAATATTATTTAGCCCTGAATTTGATTGCTAATCCCTACAAGAATAGACCAGTTGACTCAATGGCATTTATATACATTTTGGTTTTGCTGCTGTGTGTCTTTTAGTGTGGATTTACTTGATACATGCCTTTCAATAATTCTGGCCATGGTTCATTTGAATTTGGAAAGAAACTCGGGAATGTGAACAAGATTTGAGTCTCGTACCCATACTTGACTAATTTTTACAACCTCAGTACTATGTTAATATAATTCGCCTATTTTCTTAATTAATATTTTTATATTCGCAACATTGGAATATAGTGGCACTCTGATATCCACTGGAGTTTGGACTCAGGACCCCTGTAAATACCAAGATCTGTGGATAATCAAGTCCTATTACACACAATGGCATAAAAAAGGAAAAATTAGGATTCCTTCTGGGATTTCTAAACAAATTTATTCAAGCCATGGGTGTTGATTTTGTGGATGCAGAATCCATGGAAATGGAGGGCTCGCTGCATTGTTTTTTCACTGAAGAATATTGTTTCTTCCTTTTTAAAATATTGCATTTTTATTAGTCATAAATAGTTTCGCCCTTCTGGCAGTAGCACCTAGAGGTACCCTGAGAAATAAAGTCACATTGTCTTTGGCAGTATACAAACAGTCTAAATAATATTTGCCATTAATAACAAGTCCATTTATCCTTCTCTTCTTTTTCTTTCTTTCTCTTTGCGCGGTTGCTGGTTATATATGTGAAAGTAACACTGGGAGATAATGGCAATTATGTACATGTCCATCTCCAGAAGCTGTTTCTGCTATAGTTATGATGAACTTGCTTTCCATTTTGCCAGAATATTGATTTTGTGTAGGCTATCAAATAATTTTAATTAGACAAAATATGCAACGAGACAAAATAGTGTCAGAAACATCTGTAGCATAAGAGAATTGTTTCTTCTGGTGGAAAGTAAATATCCTTCAGCAGTCCTTCATGAAGCAAGCCTTCGCATAGCCTGGTAAAAGTAAAGTTTGAAAAAGAAACAAAATTATTTCAGAAATGAAAACTGTATTCTTCACAATCTTTGCAATGATGTCTTTACAATGATGACATGTATGGGGGCCGCAGTACCGCAGCAATTTAAACTGCTAGCTGCAGGAAAAGCGGCTGACAGGAGGGTTAGCAGTTCAAAGCGGCAAGTCGAGGTTTGCTCCTGACTGTCAGCCCTAGCTTCTGCTAACCTAGCAGTTCGAAAGCATGCAATGCAAGTAGATCAATATGTACCACCTTGGCAGGAAGGTAAAAACATGCTGGAAAAACACAATCAAAGATCCTTATGGACAACAGGCTCCTCAACATGAAAAAAATGGAACAGGAGTGGCCGGAGTTGAGCATTGCCTCCAGACGCCGGAGATGAAAAGGGGAAGGCCTTTACCTTGTCTCTGTGCTGTATGTCACTGTGTAAAAGGCACTGAATCTTTGCCTTATATGTGTACTGTAATCATCTCTTAGTCCCTCCAGGGAGATAAAGAGGAATATAAATAAAGTGTATTATTGTTGTTGTTATCATCATTATGGTAAAAGTATGTCTTATTAGAAACATGCACAATTCAAATATCAATGTTTCTGACTTCTCCTGCACAATCCTTTGGAATCCAATTTGATGAAAGAGCTGTTGTGTTGTGAGAGATCTCTATTAACCCTGTGATTTGCTGATAAACCTAGAATTACTTGAGCCTTGATAGATGATTCATTGAAGTTACTGAAACATCTCAACCACTAAGGCTCCATCTACACCGGGATTGTGGCGCAGCAAGCTGAGTGTCAGCTGCATTAAGGTCATGGGTTCGAAGCCAGCTCGGGTTGGAGTGGGTTTCCAACCAATTATGTGTAGCCTGTTGTTGACCTTTGCAACCCGAAAGACAGTTGCATCTGTCAAGTAGGAAAATAAGGTACCACCTGGCAAAAAAGTGTGGGGAGGCTACATTAACTGATTTATGAGGCCATAAAGAACTCCAGCAAAGCATTCCAGCAGGGAAGCATGCGGGAATGCGGAAGTGCTTCATCAGCGTCGCAGATGGATGATGAAAGCGACAGTTCCCCGGCGGCCAGAAAAAGTTAAAAATAGCCTCTGTCTATGTCTGTATATGTTTGTATGTCAAAATTGGCATTGAATGTTTGCCATATATGTGTACACTGTAATCCGCCCTGAGTCCCCTGCGGGGTGAGAAGGGCGGAATATAAAAGCTGTAAATAAATAAATAAATAAAATACACTGCCATATAAAATCCAGATTGAACTTGATTATTTGATAGTATAGATTCACATAATCCAGTTCAATGCAGATAATCTGGATTATCTGCTTTGATAATGTGGATTATATGGTAGTGCAGATCCAGCCTAAAGGGTATGGGCTATTTTAAAGACACTGCAAAGCTGTACAGTATTTGAGAAATGAACTTTTGCAGCATGGAAAGGCAACCAGTGTTAACATTTTGTTTGCAAGTTTGACCCTGTACATTTTCTGAGGTGGGAAAGGAAGTTAAAATGCAGGTGTCTTGTGTTAAATCAAGCCATACATACCTCTTCCTGAACATCAAGCTCGTCATTCTGGTGTGTTTCCAATAAATCTATTGGTTCGGTTGACTCTTGCATCAGTGAGATCTGAATAAAATGGTGAAGCATTATTATGATTGTGTAGATAGAAAGTATACTATGCTGCAGTAGCCGATGTATTGTTAAAGAACTAGGTATAATTCTACAATTTTTTTAAATAGAAAAGATATATATTGGGTGTTTTATAGAAGAAGCAAGACATTATAATCCAAATAAAACTAATGAAAACCATCACTATTGTTATATTTTTAAAATATTATTCAAATACCTCTCAATATATATACAGATATATAGGCATAAATTAATATCATTAGTTCCAACTATAGCAGGCTCCTTGAAGCAAAAATATTTACCTATGTGTATCAGCACTCATACACCTCTGGCTGAAACTAGCAACTGGGCTTAGGCCATAGACTACAAAATACGACAAAAGTTATTTCAAGAAGATTTTAATTATCCTACTATTCATTAGGCCTTTGAAATGAAACATTTCATTCCTGGTGGGGATTCCATGGATGCTCAGGGCACACCATTTTGAGTTTCTACAATATTTAGGTGAATACTTACTGTAAGAGCATAGAAGTTGTTACTTCAACTAAATTTGTTCAGTTCTCTGGGAGGGAATTGTCATTTTTATAAGATACTAGCTTAGGTACCCAACAATGCCTGAGTTAGATATTTGATAATTTTTAACATTATCCATTGGAAAAAGTCATTGTTTATGGATTTTGTGGACGGTCCCATGAATAAAATGCATAAGGATGTGGGTGCCCCGTAAATCCGCCTCAAACTCTATCAGTACTTAAAGTTGATCATGTTGGACATGTGTGCCAAGTTTGCTCTAGATCCACCATCAGTGGGGTTCAGAGTGCTCTCTGGCTGCGTGGTGAACTACAACTTTCTTCATGCTGGATCAGTCCCCCAAACCCCGCCAGCATGTCCTGTTGGTTGGGGTTGGTGGTGTTTGTGTGCCAAGAGTGGTCCAGATCCATCATTAATGGGGTTTAGCATGCTCTGACAGATTCAGGGTGAACTACAAATTCCTGGGTCAGTCCCCCAAACTTCTTCGATATGTTCTGGTGGCCATTTATTTATTTACTTTATTTCTATACCGCTTTTCTCAGCCCTCAGGCGACTCAAAGCGGTGAACAACATCGATACAAAACATCACAAAACAAGTATAGGATAATTAAAAACAATTGTAACATAACTCATTAACATCAGTATAACAATCATTAGCGTCTCAACAGTAAAATCAGAATCCATGGTGATTCTGTGTGCCAAGTTTGGTGCAGGTCCATCGTCGGTGGGGTTCACAGTTCTCTATGGATGCAGGGGGAACTATAACTTCTATCATGCTGGGTCAGTCTCTCAATCCCTCCAGTATGTTCTGTTGGTCATGGAGAGGATATTTGTGTCATGTTTTGTCCAGATCCATCAACAGTGGAGTTCAGCGTGCTCTCCAAATTCAGGGTGAACTACAACTTCCACCATGCTGGGTCAGTCCTGCAAACCTCTTCAGTGTGTTCTGTTGATCATGGGGATTCTGTGTGCCAAGTTTGGTGTAGGTCTGTCATCGGTGGGATTCACAGTTCTGTATGGATGCAGGGGGAACTATAACTTCTATCATGCCGGGCCATTCTCCCAACTCCTCCAGTATGTTCTGTTGCTCATTGAGGGGGGATCTGTGTGTCACATTTGGTTCAAATCCGTGATCGGTGGAGTTTAGAGGGCTCTCTAGATGCGGGGTGAACTACAAATTCCATCATGCTGGCTCAGTCCCCCAAACCTTTCCAGTATATTATGTTGGCCATGGGAGTTTTGTGTGCCAAGTTTGGTACAGATTAGTCATCAGTGGGGTTCACAGTGCTCCCTAGATGCAGTGTGAGCTATAACTTCCATCATACCGGGTCAAATCTCTCCAATATGTTCTGTTGGTCATGGGGGTTGTGTGTGCCAAGTTTGCCCCAGATCCATCATCGGTAGGAGTCACAGTGCAGTTACAGTTATCCATATTACAGTTGCTTGGATCTCAAATTGCTCTTCGGAGTAATGAAAAAGCAATAACACTATTTTACCAATTCCCTTTTTCTGTTGCCAAGTCTTGTTACAAAGAGACCTCAAATCTAAAGGAATTAATATATCAGAAGCACTAGGAAGCGGGGCAGGATAACATCTTTTTCTGCAAGTAAAATTCTGGAGCTTCTTAGAAGTCAGGCTTTAAGCTGTTTTAGGCAAATTAATAGAAGCAAAACTATGTCTGGATCCTTACCTTTTCAAATATGGGGTCCTGGATGTCTCTGTGCATGATCTGATTCTGTATGTGGAGTACGGCATCATGGACAGTCAGGAAAAATATTTCTGTTTTAATATTATCATCAAAAAAGGCACAGTGTTCCAGTGTCTTGATAATGTGGTCTGAAGAGGAAAAAGCATGTCACAAAACAACAAATTAAAAATAGGACAAGCAATATATATTTTCTTTGCTGGAAAATTACAACGATTTCTACATGCCATGTATAATCCCATGTATGTTATAAAACCTCTTCAGGATGCACCCAACATCGGATGTATGTTATAAAGCCTCATGCGGAAGCACCCAACCTCCCATGTATGTTATAAAGCCTCATCTGGAAGCACCAGCATCCCTTTTAAAGTGGACATAACAGGAATGACCACCTTAAGGATTTGGCTTGCACTCCACTCTCTATCAAGCACTTTGTCATACGTTCTCAATGCAATCTGTTCTACATTACGGGTAGATGTGTGTTTACCTAGGTGGGATGCGATATAAACTTTTACATCAATCCTCTCAAACTCCTTGAGAATCTGAAAAAGACAAAAAGATTAGGTTTATTTGAAATGTAACCTCAAAATCCTTTTTTTTCTTTTTGTTAGTCACCTGTTCTCAAAACTAAATTATATTATTAAAATAACTATTTCTACTTTGCTGAATATAAACCCAGGGTAAAGTCCAAATCTGTTTACGTGTATGATTTAAATCCATATGCATAAACATTGATATTCATTTCTGCTTTAATGTTTGTATATTTGTGGATTTTAAATTGTATGTAAATGCCTTTAATTTATGCTGCTTTGAGTCCCCTTTGTGGAGAGAAAAAGCAGGGTATAAATTAAAAATTCAATTTGTTTCATAAAGATCAAGTAGACAGAACATATTGTAAAGAACAAAAATAATTTTCTGGCCTTGCATCACACAAGGAGGGAGAGAGAAGTGTTCCTGTGTAACTAAGTCTGAACTGCTTAAAGTAACCACACGCTTTTAAGTCAATATTTTGAAACAGCTAAGCTTTATACCTGAATTGTTCCAGTTCTCTTAAATAAACATCATTGTTTTGTTGTTCACAACATCTGCCTCACGTGTGCCTCTGTGGGTGAAGTTTTAAAAACAGTTTCTTGCAGCAAACAAGAGTCTATGGTGGTAGCATATATTTTGAAGAATAATCTTTTAGTGTTACCTCAGAAACACAAGCCTGAGTGCTAAATCCAACACAATCTTTCCTAGGATACTTCCAGTAAGCCAAGGGCTTATCACTGCTTTTAAGGTTGTGGTGGCCAGAAGGTTTTCAAAAGGTTTTTCGGCCAAAAGAAAGTTCCAGCTTAGTGCAGCTTTTGGTTTTGGGCTTTTAAAACACAGAAGGAAGCTTCATTCCAATCACAAGTGGTGTTCTGCTTTAGGGATTTTATTCCCCAAATAAAGCCTCAATCCTTTATAGCACCCCATAGCTGAGGGGCCACCACTGAGAAGGCCCTGTCTCTCGTTCCTGCCAGCCGTACTTTTGACGAAGGTGGGACTGAGAGCAGGGCCTCCCCAGATGATCTTAAAGTCCTGGAGGGTTCATAAGGAGAAATCAAGGCATCCAAAGGTCAAGGAAGCCTGTATTTTAATTGAAATGAATATGTGCTTTCATTGTGCATGAATTACAGAAATCCATAAATGCGGGTGGCTATACTTGTTGTCACTTGTCACTATGCCTACAATGAAATTGGCTTACCGTTTTCATCACTCTCACCGCTACAACATCCAGAAAGGATACAGCTCCAAAATCAAAAATCAAGCTATGAAAAGGCACTTTGGGGACATTGACTTTGACTGGGAGTTCTGAATTCCAGTCCACTTGGATTTCTACTTCCTTGGTTGGGATGTCAAGTTCTTCTGGATCTTCTGGGTCTTCATCGGGTTCAAAAGCTTCATTAGCAGTACCAAAATCACTGATGATGCCATTCTAATTGGAAGATACACACACCATAGTAAGTATGTTAATTATTAGATAAGAATTGAAGTTTTGAATTTTCCTGTTGATAAAATGTTTGCAATATGTTGATGGGAAACTAATCTTTCAGATAGTATCTATGTCATAATTTTTTACACACTAACTTTGATTAGGAATGCGATTAAGGGCAATTGTTCAATTGTCTAATAATGCATGTAGGCATATCTCATATAAAGAATACATATATGTGCATATAAGAATCATAGAATCATAGAATCAAAGAGTTGGAAGAGATCTCATGGGCCATCCAGTCCAACCCCCTGCCATGAAGCAGGAATATTGCATTCAAATCACCCCTGACAAATGGCCATCCAGCCTCTGCTTAAAAGCTTCCAAAGAAGGAGCCTCCACCACACTCCGGGGCAGAGAGTTCCACTGCTGAACGGCTCTCACAGTCAGGAAGTTCTTCCTAATGTTCAGATGGAAGCTCCTCTCTTGTAGTTTGAAGCCATTGTTCCGCGTCCTAGTCTCCAAGGAAGCAGAAAACAAGCTTGCTCCCTCCTCCCTGTGGCTTCCTCTCACATATTTATACATGGCTATCATATCTCCTCTCAGAAGTTCGTTCCATGTATTCAATATTATTAGGAAAGAAGAAAATGGATCAGAGGCCAGTATCAAATTTGGGTCACTATACCAACAGCACTCTAGGTTGTAGCTATGAGTGTAATTTTATGAGTTTGCATAAGGAGTTAGAGTTATGTAATTTTATGAGTTTGCATAAGGAGTTATTCAGGAGTTATTCAGTCCACTTGGATTTCTACTTCCTTGGTTGGGATGTCAAGTTCTTCTGGATCTTCTGGGTCTTATACTTACACTCTCCCTACAGTTAACGTGGATTTCTACATCAGTTTCCTTCTCCCAACTTTTTCATCTCTCTAACTCTTGCTAAGACTTCTTGCTTCTGTTCTACCTTGTCTTCCAAGGAAAGTGAAGCACACACATAGGTGTGCTTTAAACAGTTATCTTTCAGAATATCTCTTTGGCAACCACAATGCCAGTCTCTCTTGTAAAGTACTACCTTTTAATACAAGCAAAGAAAAATGCTAGTATATTGTATGCTAACCAAATTGTAGATAGATACAATCCTGATTTGTCACCTTCTGTTTGGATTTTCTTATGCTATAAACATTAATAATAGATAGCTACATACTGCATTTTGAAGGGGGGAAATAGATCTCATGCACATACATTGAACCAAAACGAGTATTCTTTTTCAAAGAGGGCTTAAAATCACTAAGTAGAAATAGGAAATTGATACATTACTTTTGTTGCTTTTAATTTTCCCTTCTTGATCAGCTTTTGTATCTTTCGCAGAGCTTTGAGCCTTTTGTTATAAACCCGCATGGCATCAAATCCAACCTGCAAATAACAGAATGGAGAAAAAGTATTCTACTGTTGTTTTTTCAGGTATGCCAAGAAGAAAAACACACTGGGAATAGTCAGTTGATGTCAATGGGATTGAGAGTATTATAAAAGTTGCATCCTGTCTTTCTTCCATTCTGAAACTCAAAGATGCATATACTGAGTTCCCAGCCAATTGCCCATCCATTCATTTCCCATCCAGGCAAATTTCACGGACTTCTGTGCCTGGACATTGCACACTATTGTAGACTGTGGTTAGTGTAAACCAAAAATATTCTGGGTTGTTGTAGGTTTTTTCAGGCTATATGGCCATGTTCTAGAGCAGGGGTCCTTAAACTAAGACCCGGGAGCCGGATACAGCCCTCCAAGGTCATTTACCTGGCCCTCGCTCAGGGTCAACCTAAGTCTGAAATGACTCGAAAGCACCCAATAAGAACAATAATCCTATCTAATCAGCCAAAAGCAGGCCCACACTTTCCACTGAAATACTAATAAGTTTATATTTGTTAAAATTGTTATTCATTTTTATTATTTATTGTTTTAAAGTGTTTTTTGCACTACAAATAAGATATGTGCGGTGTGCAAAGGAAGTCATTCATGCTTTTTCCAAATCATAATCCGGCCCTCCAACAGTTTGAGGAACTGTGACCTGGCCCTCTGTTTAAAAAGTTTGAGGACCCCTGTTCTAGAGGCATTCTCTCCTGACATTTCACCTGCATCTATGGCAAGCATCCTCAGAGGTTGTGAGGTCTTAATTTTTAAATATTCTTAAATATCACTGATTACTCACAGTTGATTTGAGGCTGCTTCTCAAGCCATCGATGTTAGCATAAAAAATAGGACTTGAAAATCTGAGAATCTTCACTCCTTCTGGTTCAACAACCTGTTGTGAAAATAATTTTCAGTTGAAACAAGCATGCATTTATTTATTTGTTGTGTCAGATCAACCAGTCAATTATATTACATTTCTAACAGAACAAAGCAAACAAACAGATAATTGTGCCGGTGTTATTGCCATTCTATCTATTATGAATGGCTAAACTGAATGTCTTCCTATCTTGATTCTTTTTAACCACCCTGATTGAAATGCAATTATTTCTTTACTAGCTATCCCCTGCCACATGTTGCTGTGGCCCAGTCTGTGTATATGTGTTTTGTGTGTGTATATATGTGTATATATGTGGTTTTGTGCATGCATTGTAATGTTTTTTTTAATCTTTTGACTTTTAAGTCTCTTCCGCTGTGTTTTTCAGTGTTTCTATGTGTGATGGTCACTCGTTGGCATGATAGGTGTATTGTGTCCAAATTTGGTGTCAATTTGCCCAGTGGTTTTCGAGTTATGTTAATCTCACAAACGAACATTACATTTTTATTTATAGATGAATGGCTAAACTAGATGTCTTCCTATCTTGATTCTTTTTAACCACCCAGGTTGATATGCAATAAATTCTTAATGTGATAGCTTCCTTTATGACCACAAAGCTCTCGTTTCAGTTATATACTTAAACATTTACCTTCTCCTTAAGACTTTAACCTCATCACACATGAAAAAATAAGCATCCTAGGACACTTCCACCCCGGTTCACTCATGGAGTCCCACACCGTGCATAAAATGATGTAGGCTGACTTCCAGTGGGACTCCATGAGTGAACTGAAGAAGCAACATGGTGAGATGCTGCACCACCAATACAGGAGCCTCCCTGTGTTTTGTTAGGAACAACAGGGCTACTGCAGGCTTAGGCCACGTGGCAACGCTTCCCCACGTGTGATGGGGAAGTGTCAGTTTCCGGCCAGCGTGCCGGGAATGCCCTGCTGCCGCCCCAATTCAACATAGAGGCTGGTGAATCACAACGCTAGACCTCATCCATGTGATGAGGTCCTTAATCATACCAACTCGCTATGCCACAAAAGTCACATTAATGTAGATAATGGATATATCCTAAGATGAGCACCTTCAATATTGCACCTTTCTTTATGAGCAGAACTGTGTTGGTTTGCTAATATGTGGTACCATTGTGGTCCCATAATCACATTCTCTATATCAAGATTTGTACATTAAAAAACAAAGCAACCACTTTGGGAGCAGCTAGGAAGAAGGAGAACCCCACACCCTGATGTCATGTGAGAGCCAGTATGCTGGCAGAGAAGCAGAAGGGACCCATTACACTAAGATAAATAGTGGAAGTGGTGGATTTTACCCATCAGTAGCTGGGAAAATAATTGGGGGGGGGGGAGGAGAGACAAACTGGTAGTGGGATGCACAGGACATCATGTGATAGCTACCATCACCAAATCTAATGATCCAGCTGCAAGTTCCTATGCTAAGACAGAGTTATGTGTAACACAGAAATAACAGTTATTGCCATTTCCCTCTCTTTTAAAAACATCCTACAGCAATCTAATGACAGATACTCAGAAAAGCAATTATTTCAGGATGCTTTTAGTGATGAAGCAAAGATATATAGTAATGTATTGATTGCAACTATATCATACACATGTTCTTATATCAAAAATAAGAAAATCGTAGCATGGGTTGTGACCTTGCACACTTCATGCTGCACTTAATTCTACCTTGGCCAATATGTCATATTTAACTTCACTTAATTTTTCCTAGAAATAAATTTCAACCAACCACAAAAGAAACCTTAATGCAATACTATTTAGATGTGAGTGAAGAGATAACTTGCTGTAAAGTCTTACATTTTTGTATTCTTTGATGTTTTTATATAGGTCTGTCCCAGAAATACTGCCAAGGCTGCCCCAGGAAGGACTGAAACAAAAAGAAAATAATTGATCAAAGTGCATATTCAACACTTAAATTATACAGAACAATTAGTTGCCAGCCAGTGTTAACTGAGCTGTGATTAATCTCATGACCTGTGAACCAGATAATAAAGAACAGGGAAGACTAATTGGTTCTTTTGTGCTAATTGCCAAGCGACTGATTCCCTAGTAGAATGGTTCTTAAACTTGGTTTATGGAGGACTACTATTCTGTCTGATTATGCTTTGTGGTCCATGACATTCTCTTATCTTGTGGCCAGCCATGAGAAAGGATGCTTGAAACACTCCAGAGTTAAAGATTAATATTTGTCTTCTTTAGTTCTGATATAACTTATACATATTATGTGCTGTCGCATGCTGGGCCTGAAATAATGTCTGTTTACAGGATGCGCCTTCTGTATGCCCAACGGGACACCGGGGTGCCTCAGCTGAAGGGCCCCTTAGATTTCCCAACACAAAGTTCTATTTAGGCTCAAAATAAGTTCAACAAAGTTCTTTATTTGGGCTTAAATCTTCAAACAAATGAATTAAACACTTTATAACATTGGAAAATGACACCTCAGGTAAGATTGAATTCCTTCGACGTAAAGCAGGAAAACTCTGCTTTGTGACGAAGTAATCTGACAGCTGGAAAGACCTGGGTCTTTCAGAAGACCCGGGTCTTTCCAGCTGCGGGTGCTGTGTGGATTGGGCCTGGGGATCGCATTATGCGACTTCCAGTGCCATCCACACAGCTGACTCTGATTTCTTGGGCTCTTGGAGCCCAACAAACCCAAGACACCCACGCCGACCCCTCCCTCCAGAAAAACCTTTTAAAAAGAAAATAACTTTCCTAGCCACCATTCCCCCTTCTCTGGAACTCTCCTGGTGCGTAGTAATGACGCACCAGGAGAAGGGAAGGAGGAGGAAAATTGCACCTGTCCCCCCTTCTCCATTTCTACATACCAGGAGAACTCTGGAAAAGGGGGAATGCTGGCTGTGTAAGTTATTTTCTTTTAAAAGGCTTTTCTGGGGGGGTTTGTTTTATGTCCGGGTGCCCTGCCAGAAAGTCCAGCATGGTATCTGGACACCCCCTCCCCTGAGAAAAGCGTGGATGTTGGGGAGGAGGTTTGTGGGCTTCAACCCAGGCCCAACCGAGTTAAAGGAACCCAACTACACCCAGGTTGAAGTCCTTCGTGGAACCCCCCAATCATACATTGTAATAATGAAATGTATGCGAACACAACATATCTCAAGAAAACTGTTAATTTATATTTTTCAAATATATGATTCATGGCTTATTTCACATATATTCAGAGGTTGGGTTGTTGTAGGTTTATCAGGCTATATGGCCATGTTCTAGAACAGGGGTCCTCAGACTTTTTAAACAGAGGGCCAGGTCACAGTCCCTCAAAAGGTGTGGACCTGCTTTTGACTGATGAGATAGGATTGTTGTTGTTGTTGTTGTTGTTGTTGTGTGCTTTCAAGTCGTTTCAGACTTAGGGTGACTCTGAGCAAGGGCCGGGTAAATGACCTTGGAGGGCCGTATCCGGCCCCCGGGCCTTAGTTTAAGGATCCCTGTTCTAGAAGCATTCTCTCCTGGTGTTTGCCTGCATCACAACCTCTGAGGATGCCTGCCATACAGGTATGTAGCCGGGGGGGGGGGGGCTTGAGGGGCTTCAGCCCCCCCCCCCCCAATTCTCATGGTGGTTCGCAAAAAGGCCTTACTGGTGCATTATTTAAACTGTTATGTTTATTCATATCATGATCTGATCACCATACTCAATATATCCCATATGCATGGGGGTATTGGGGTAATGATACAAAAGGTTTGCTAGGGTAGACCCTCTTTCACTCAGACTCAGCCCCCCAAACCACCCCCCCAGCCCCCCCGAACCCCCCTGAAAAAACCCCCCCCCCCCCCCCCCGAATCGAAATCCTGGCTACGGGCCTGCTGCCATAGATCCAGGCGAAACTTCAGGAGAGAATGCTTCTAGAACATGGCCATATAGCCCGAAAAACCTACAACAACCCAGTGATTCTGGCCATGAAAGCCTTCAACAATACATTGATTTAGAGGTTTCTCATTATGTTCGTGATGCACCCACACATTGTAGCTGACACGCCAATGGTGGCAATACATGGTTGGTAAGCTCTGCTTTAGTGGTTGGATTGTTGAACTCCAATTTAGAATGGGTCTAATTCCATTATGAGTATAATATAAGTACCCTCAAATCTTGAGTGAATTCAGGAATTGTATTAATTTATTTGACAGAGCTGTCAAGGTGGTAAAACTCCCTTGTGTTTGTGATACTTACAACTGAACTCTCAGCACAACAGTCAGCAGCGCAAATACTAATCCAGCAAGTAATCCCAAATCCAGTCCAAGGATAATGGATGCTATACAGGTGAAAACCCAGATCATCTGGAAAATTGTTAACAAAAAAAGAGAGAGAAGCTGATGGTGCACCTTGCAGAACATGGCCCAGTTTTCACTGAGATGATAAACTGATGTCTGACATGTTTACTTTGCTAGTGGAATCAATACAGATTGTTTTATTATTATGATCATTATGGTATTTTATGTGTGACTTGACAAAGCAACACATAACTCTTTTTGCCTTGGGGGTGCATCTCTATTGCTTGGATCTTCAGTGGTCAATAAACCTAGCCTTGTAGGTGCTTGCTCAGTACAACACTCCCCCCCCCCCCCAGTTACTTGAGGTTTCAATTATTTATTAATTGAAATGAAAGGCAGGTGATAGGGCTGATCTTAATTCAAAATATCACCAACATTACACAGATTTATTGGAAAAAAATTAAAGACTCACAGCATCCGCTTTACTTTGCCTCCACAATCGGGGGACGTCACCTATTTGCATGAACATCCCTTTCAAGTTGGCAATGACCACAGCTGCCAATACAGACTGTAAACAGAGAAAGAAGCATTAACTGCATTGTTCCAAGAAAATAACTGCAAAGGAAGCACATTGGTATATCACGTTGTATAACAAGATGTAGAAGTAGTAGTAGTAGTAGAAGAAGAAGAAGAAGAAGTACCAGTAGTAGTAGCAGTAGTAGTAGGTATCACAAGCCTGAAAAGGTTACGGAAAATGAACATGTGAAACTACTCTGGGACTTCCGAATTCAGACAGACAGCATTTTGGAGCACAATACTCCTGACCTCATGATCATGTTAAAAAACAAAGTATGTACTGTCGATGTTGAAATCCCAGGTGACAGCAGGACTGAAGGGAAACAACTGGAAAAGCTGACACAATATGAGGATTTAAAGATTGATGTTCTGTCGCGCACTGGGCTTGATATAAATTGCTTTTAAAATAAGACGTGTAACTTTAGCCCAGCGGGAAGCCAGGGGGCCCAAAGAAAAATTTGTAAGGATTTTCACCATAAACAGTCTTTAGAGTGTTTGTGAAATATAACAAAGTCTTTTATTGGTGAACAATCAACAGAAACTTCCTTTGTCTTCAAAAGGTTAAACAAATGCTTCCAGGCTTTGTGCAACTGGTGGCTTCTAACTGTTACTTTACTCTAAAGGAAAATCCCTTTCCAAACTTCTCCCAGGCTGACTGTGAACCTAAACCTAACTGATGTGGGCTCCACTACCGGGTTGAACTGCGTCTCAAAGCACCGAGTGGACCTACCAGTAGGCCTGTAGTCACTTCAGCTGGAGTTCTTAGATATTCAAAGCTGCTTTTCCCTCCGAAATTCCTCAGAGCTTTAGGGCTGTTTCCCTGGGAATCTTTGGGAATCCTTTTGCTCTTAAGACTGTTCTCCCCCGGGAAGTCTTAAGGGTTGAAGCCTTTGTACAGGAGAAGTCTGTATACGTCCTGTACATTGACTTTCCTTGCTGAGACTGACTGAAAATGGCTCCCTTCCCTTCTCAATTGTCCTGAACAGGGGGCGGAACCAAACTTAATGATGATGGACAGGGGGCCTGCCCTATAACTGCAAACTTTAACAGGAAGCCACCCTTCTGCAGAATCCCAAGCCTTGGGCTGCAAGCAAACACTTAATACAAGGCAAATAAAGTGGGAGCTTCTGGTACAGCTGTACCAGCACAATCGAACTGCAAAGACTCTGGCACAAGCCAGTAAAGGTGGCCCCAGTGGTGATCGGCACACTGAGTGCAGTGCCTAAAGGCCTTGGCCTGCACCTAAACATAATCAGCGCTGACAAAACTACCATCTGCCAGCTGCAAAAGGCCACCTTACTGGGATCTGAATGCATCATTCGCTGATACATCACACAGTCCTAAACACTTGTGAAGTGTCCAATGTGTGATCCAATTCAACAGTCAGCAGAGTGTCTGCTGTGGACACATCTTATTGTGTTTCAAATAATAATAATAATAATAATAATAATAATAATAATAATAATAATTCGTGCCTGCCTCTCCTCATGGCTCGAGGCACGTTACAGCATAATTAAAACACATAAACATTGTAAAATTCTGTAAACACACATATTAAAATGTATTTCTATAAAAATACATATTAAAATATATAGAACAGAGATTAAACACCAGATACAAGTTTAATAAAATTCATGCTTCAAACTGTAAGAGAGGAAGAGAGCCGAGAAGAGAAAATAGTTTTTACTTTATAAATGGCAGGTCTAAACACAAAGATGTTTAATAATTATGATAATAATAATAATAATAATAATAATAATACCTTTTGCAAAGGTTCCAGCAATTTTCCTAAAGCAACAATTGCAATAAGTACAATTGCAGCTGAGATTATTCCAGCAACCTGAATGGGAGAAGTGTTGGATAATACAGAAAATTAGTTTAAAACTTTTACTGCAGATTGCTGCTTTTAAAAATAATGCAATGACAATCTCATAAACAATAATTATAATACTCAAGTGGCACAGTAGTAATAAAAACATGTGGATGTTTTAATTGGACCTTTTTTGATTTATATGCTTTTTAATTCTATTTGAAAACACAACAAAGATGGAAGCCTTGGGAAGTCCTCCGTATTTTTGGTGCTGGTAGAGAAAACACCCTGTTTCATGTATCCTTATAAGAATTAAGGAAAATTACTACAAAACAATATGGAGGTGGTATCTAACTCCCATTAGATTAAATCAGATTGATAAAAAAAATACTCAAATCAGTGCTGGAGAGGCTGCCAGGAACTAGGGACTTACTTTCATATGTGGTGGTCATGTAAAATTATACAAAAATTTTGGGAAAGTGTATTTAAAGAAATAAGAGCAATAATAAAAATAGAGATTGAGATTACACCAAAATTAGCATTATTTCTTATACATGATACTATAATTCCCTTACAAGAGGAGAAAGAATTGATTTTTAATTTGATAACAGCAGCTAAATTGTTAATAGCAAAAAACTGGAAAGAAAGAAAAAAGAAATTCAATTAGAAGAATTGTATAGGGAAATATGGAATATAGCGATTAATGATAAGCTAACTTGTAATATTAAAATTAAAAGGGGAATATGGAAACAAATGGGGAAAATTTATTGAGTATGTGTTTAATGAGGGAAAGTGATAGAGTTATATGTACTATAAGTTGTAATGGAAATTTAAAAATAATAAGAAATATGATTAAAGACGTTTTTGATGTTTTAAAAAAACCAAGGTTGTCCTGTCTTCCCTAGTTTATTTGCCATGGCAATAGAACCTTCAGCTAATTTAATTAGAAAGGAAAAAAATAAATAAAAGGATTTAAATTAGGCAAGGAAGAAATCAAAGTTAATTTATACGCGGATGATGGCATGATACTATTAGTGAAACCTGGAGAATCCATAAGGGAAGTAGTAAATTTTTTTTTTAAATTGAAACATCAGGTCTTGTAATCTTGTAACAAATCTTGAAAAATCAGAGATTAGTCACCAAAAAAGAGTTTAAAAAATCCAAACAATCCTCGGGATAAGATTTGGGGAAAAGAAATCTACCATATATACTCGAATATAAGCTGACCCAAATATAAGCCAAGGCACCTAATTTTACCACAAAAAACTGGGAAAATGTATTGACTCAAGTATAAGCCGAGGGTGGGAAATGCAGCAGCTACTGGTAAATTTCAAAATAAAAATAGATACCAATAAAATTATATTAATTTAGGCATCAGTAGGTTAAATGTTTTTGAATATTTACATAAAACTGTAATTCAAGATAAGACTGTCCAACTGATTAAACCATTATTCTAACCTTCTTAAATGTAAATATGCTTACATGTCCTCAAATAATAATAAATAGAGTTAAATAATAATAATAGAGTAAAATAATGGAATGTAATAACAGTAATAATAGAGTATAATAAATGTAATAATAATAGTAATAATAACAACAACAACAACAAAGTAAAATAATAAATAACATTGACTCGAGTATAAGCCGGGGGAGACTTTTTCAGCCTAAAAAAATGAATGAAAAACTAGGCTTATACTCAAGTATATACAGTAAATACTTGGCAGTGTAGACTCATATAATCCAATTGAAAGCAGATAATCTGGATTTTATATGACAGTGTAGATGGGGACTTAGTAGCCATTAAAATGCCCCAGTCCCCTTCTACACTGCCATATAATTCAGATTATGAAAGCAGACAATCCACATTATCCGCTTTAAACTGGATTATATGAGTCTTCACTGCCATATAATCCAGTTCAAAGCAGATAGTCTGGATTTTATATGGCGGTGTAGAAGGGGCCCGTTATCTCTCTCCTCCTTCCACTTTTATCTTTGTCTTAAGTTTATTTCAGTGCTCACATAGTTTGTACTGTATTAATTCAGCAGAAGGGATTCAATAGGAGGAAGCAGAGTCTTGTTCTTTCAAAGCCAAAGTATCTAAATTTCAGGTTCAGTCTACTTAGAACAGTAGTTTTGTGCATTCTCCCTCATTAGGAACATTTGTCTCTTATTGCTTGGCCACATCCTTTTCATTACACTCTGATGTAGCCTGCTACAGATGTGTCCCAGCTTTCACCTATGAAATGTTAGAGGGCATGGAGTAGATCCAGTGAATCAATAGGAACCTGCCAAGTCAGGGCATATCTAAATTCCATTGACTGAACAGCTTTGTTCTAGTTTGGATAAATAATTCATTTGAGGTCTCACTTTCACATCACTCCCTCAACATCGCTCGATTCAATATCAAGACATATAGGTTCTTGCAGACACAGAAATACTGTATGAGTGATCTTTTAATATTAATTGTCTGCTAAATGAGTTACCTGGGTTTTTCCACCAGTGCTTTCCTGGACTGCTGTGCGAGACAGAGCAGTGGTTGCAGCGAAACATGAAAAAGCTCCAGAAAAAATATTACAGATCCCAAAGGCAATAAATTCCTAGAAGATTAGAAAACCAAACGATTAAATATTTTCTTCTTTTCTTTGCAGCGTCACTCATTCATTGCTTCTTCTTTAAGCAGCATCAGTTTATTTTAATTATCTTTCCATCATCACAATCATAAACAACAGTAGTTAGAAATTTGTGCAGTTCTATTGTGTGCTTAATCTACACTGTAGAATTAATGCAGTTTGATACCACTTTAGCTACCATGACTCAATGCTGTGGAATCTTGAGATTAAAATGATTACTCCCTTTATTTATTTATTGTGTCAGGCAACCGAACAGTTGTATTACATTTTTTAACAGAACAAACAAACAAACATACAAAAACACAGAGTTTGTAAGCTTGGTAGTTGATTAAATGTCCTTTGACCAGTATCTGGCCACTTGGAGTGCTTCTGGTGTTGCAGCAAGGAGGTCCTCCAGTGTGCATGTAGCACGGCTCAGGTTGCATTGCAGCAGGTGGTCTGTACTTTGCTCTTCTCCACACTCGCATGTCGTGGATTCCACTTTGTAGCCCCATTTCTTGAGGTTGGCTCTGCATCTCGTGGTGCCAGAGCGCAGTCTGTTCAGCGCCTTCCAAGTCGCCCAGTTTTCTGTGTGCCCAGGGGGGAGTCTCTCATTTGGTATCAGCCATTGATTGAGGTTCTGGGTTTGAGCCTGCCACTTTTGGACTCTCGCTTGCTGAGGTGTTCCAGCGAGTGTCTCTGTAGATCTTAGAAAACTATTTCTTGATTTAAGTCATTGATGTGCTGGCTGATATCCAAACAGGGGATGAGCTGGAGATGTCACTCCTTGGTCCTTTCACTATTGGCTGCTACTTCCCGGCGGATGTCAGGTGGTGCAATACCGGCTAAACAGTGTAATTTCTCCAGTGGTGTAGGGTGCAGACACCCCGTGATAATGCGGCATGTATCATTAAGAGCCACATCCACTGTTTTAGCGTGGTGAGATGTGTTCCACACTGGGCATGCATACTCAGCAGCAGAGTAGCATAGCGCAAGGGCAGATGTCTTCACTGTATCTGGTTGTGATCCCCAGGTTGTGCCAGTCAGCTTTCGTATGATATTGTTTCTAGCACCCACTTTTTGCTTGATGTTCATGCAGTGCTTCTTGTAGGTCAGAGCACGGTCCAGAGTGACTCCCAGGTATTTGGGTGCGCTGCAATGCTCCAGTGGGATTCCATCCTCAGAGCTCAGGATGCTTGTCTGTTCTTGAGATGAAAAGCACATGTTTGTGTTTTAGATGGATTAGGGATCAGCTGGTTTTCCCTGTAATAGGCAGTAAGGGCACCTAGAGCTTCGGAGAGCTTCTGTTCAACCATCTCAAAGCTCCCTGCTTGAGCGTTGATGGCATGGCATCAGCATAGATGAAACTCTCTGCCCTTCTGGCAGTGGCTGGTCATTTGTGTAGATGTTGAACATGGATGGAGCAAGCACGCTATCCCCTGAGGCAGGCCGTTCTTCTGTTTCCGCCATCTGCTTCTCTGGCCCTGGAACTCAACAAAAAAGCTCCTGTTTTGTAGCAGGTTTCCTATGAGGCGGGTGAGGTGGTCGTCCTTTGTGAGATTATACATTTTTCTCAGGAGGAGGCGGTGGTTCACAGTATCATAGGCTGCTGACAGGTCTATGAAGACAGCTCCTGTGATCTGCTGCCTTTCAAAGCCATCTTCTATGTGCTGAGTCAGGTTCAGCACTTGCGATGTGCAGCTTTTGCCTTTCCTGAAGCCAGCTTGCTGTGGGATCAGACAGGGGTCTATGTTTTCCATAATTCTATGCAAAATAAGTCTCTCCAGAACTTTGTAAAGATGGCATAACAGGGAGATTGGTCTATAGCTTTTTGGATCATTATGGTCTTTGCCTGGTTTCAAGACTCTTGCTTTCCTCCAGATTTTGGGGATCTGACAGGATGCAGTGCAGTTGTTCATCAGCTCCAGCAGCCAGCGCCTTGCTTTTGGACCAAAGTTCAGATTACTCCCTTGATTTTACAGCATTGAGCCATGGCAATTAAGGTGGCGACAAACTATACCAATTCTATGATGTAGATACAACCTAACTGACATCCTCCACAATAAGCCCACCATCACATTGCCATTATTATGAAAGATAGCAAGATTTGGTGGGTAGGAAATAAAATATACACATCTAATAAATTTCTTTTTAGCAAACTGTATTAACTATAGGGACAGTTGCATCTAACAGCACCTAACAATTTTGGCTTGTTGTATTCAGTCTCTATTCTTACATTTTAGGCTATAAACGGACAAACTTGGATTGATTTTAATTCCAAAATACGCAATCCTTTGTTTCCTTGTTACCCTTGCACTATTTCAATTTGGGAATTTTTTATATTAAATTTATGTTTAATATTATAATGTAATACAATATAATAATATGATATTGAAATTATATATTTTATATTACATATATTATTACTTATAATATTACAATATAATGGTATAGTACAATATAGTAATGTATAATACTGATATTGTACTATGCTAATAATATAATATATATATATATATTGCGTGTGTGTGTGTGTATGTGTATCTCTCTTGTAAGCCACTCTGAGTCCCCTTCGGAATAGGAAGGACAGCATATAAATGTTGTGAATAAATAAATAAATAAATGTGTGATACAAGCAATCCCCAAGTTACAAATATCTGTGTTTATGTGTTGAGAGCTGCAACGTGTGTTTGAACGTGGGTGTGGCATTTCAGATGACTAATGAATGTGGTACTATGACTTAAGAGAATAGTCTGCCTGAGTGTTCTTCACCACCTGGTGATGAATGCTAGTGTAATTAAAAATCCCAACCACATTGATGATTTCCCCTGTTTCTTTTCTGTTGCCAATAGTAACCAATCAGAGCTCTGCTTCCATTCCTTTTATTGCTGTGGTAAAATGATGGCACTGCAATTGGTTGATTTTTCTTATGCTGCTGAGGTGTAAGAAAAGCTGTGCTGTGGTTGGTTTTTGTTTCTTCTGCTGCTGTAGTTTAATGAAAGCAGCACTGCAAATGGTTATTTTTTCTTAAACTGCTGAGGTAAAAGGACAGCTGCGCTGCGATTGGTTGCTAGAGCTCAGTTTTCATTTTTTGTACTGTTTAGGTATATTGAAAGCTAGATTGGGTTTGGTTACTATGGGCTACATGGATTTTCTTTTGGACAACTTTCATAAGAGTGGGTGCTGAGATCTTTTCTGTGGCCTCTTTGTCTACTTCACATTTGCTAGTTTTACTGTAAAAACATGCACATATTTGAACACAATGATGTGTCATGATTTCATTTTACTATTAAAACACGCACATTTTGGATAGCAATGTTGTGTTAAAATTTCAAGTCAACCGGCCGTCTACTTTTTGAGTTTTGTGTGCACAAATATATGCAGCCTGATATTTTATATATAATGTGTGTCTATATCCATAGATCTAATGTTCTGTTTACACTGTAGTTGTTTGGAAAACGTTTAGCCACACATACCTGATTTCCATCAATGGCATAGTCATATTTGGTCGCATACACTTTACCTACGGATACAGCTATTGCATAAGCCACAATAGCGATGGAAAAGGATGATGCTATTATATCTCCAAACATGCTGACAGCTGGATTTATAGGAGGCAGAAATCTTTAAAATAAATATTAGAAGAACATGAAATTACTTATGTATCTATGTCTTCAATAAATACTATAGATATTAGCATTCTCAACAAGTTAATATTATTATATTCTTTTAGGGCATGCTGGAGTTGTGGTTCAACATAATATCTATTAAAGCTTCAACAGAGAGGGGAGGTGAAGTTAATTTTCAAGACAATAGCTGCATCATGTCTTATGATGGGAATCAAATAATGCAGGCATCCATCTAGAGCTGAAATAGTTAATTTCTTTCAGTTGCTTTCAGCAAATACAATCTTCTACGGGATGGAAAAGCCAAACATAATACATTTTTGTTTGCAGGTTATAAATGTCATTTCGTAATTGTTCTATCATAAAAAATGGGGAAACATTATAAAACTGCAAAAACTTTGTTTTTGCAGGACATCCTGCAACATATTTTGCTGAAGTTTTTCAATTAATATCTCATAGGTTGCTTCCAGGCAGGCCTCAAAATGCGGGACCTTTCAGACTTTTACCTGAGGCATCCAAACAATGCCTCTGGTAAAAGCAAATTAATTCGAGACAAAGCTGGTAAACCTTGCTTTGTCCCAAATTAAATAGATACCTGGTAACACCTGGATCTTTGGTAACATCTGGGCCTTACCAGGTGTGGGCCCAGTTTGGTGCAGGTTTAAGACATGTCTGGAAGCACCCAGACATGAATCTTAGCCAATTCAACATACCGTATATACTCGAGTATTAGCCGACCCGAATATAAGCCAAGGTACCTAATTTTATCACAAAAAACTAGGAAAACGTATTGACTCGAGTATAAGCCGAGAGTTGGAAATGCATCCACTATGGGTCAATTTCAAAATAAAAATAGATACCAATAAAATTACATTAATTGAGGCATCAATAGGCTAAATGTTTCTGAATATTTATATAAAACTGTAATTTAAGATAAGACTGCCCAACTCTTATTAAACCATTATTCTAACCTCCTTCAATGTAAATGTGCTTATTATTAAAATAATAAATATAATAAAAATAATAGAGAAAATAATGAAAATGCAATAAAAACAGTAATAATAGAGTAAATAATAAATGTAGTAATAAGAGGGTAAAATACTGTAAATGTAATAATAATAATAATAATAATAATAATAATAATAATAATAATTTGTTGTTTATTCATTCAGTTGTCTCCGACTCTTCGTGACCTCATGGACCAGCCCACGCCAAAGCTCCCTGTCGGCCGTCACCACCCCCAGCTCCTTCAAGGTCAGTCCAGTCACTTCAAGGATGCCATCCATCCATCTTGCCCTTGGTCAGCCCCTCTTCCTTTTGCCTTCCACTTTCCCCAGCATGATTGTCTTCTCTAGGCTTTCCTGTCTCCTCATGATATGGCCAAAGTACTTCAACTTTGTCTCTAGTATCTTTCCTTCCAGATAATAAATGTAATAATAATAGGGTAAAATACTGTAAATGTTGCCAGATGTTCAAGCTGGGTTTAGAAAAGGCAGAGGAACGAGAGACCAGATTGCCAATATCCGCTGGATAATGGAGAAAGGCCGGGAGTTTCAGAAAAACATCTATTTCTGCTTCATTGACTATTCTAAAGCCTTTGACGGTGTGGATCATAATAAATTGTGGCAAGTTCTTGGTGGGATGGGCATCCCAAGCCACCTTGTCTCTCTCCTGAGGAATCTGTACAAGGACCAAGTAGCAACAGTCAGAACTGACCACGAAACAACAGACTGTTCAAGATTGAGAAAGGAGTACGGCAGGCCTGTATACTCTCACCCAACCTATTCAACTTGTATGCAGAACACATCATGTGATGTGCAGGGCTTGAGGAATGCAAGGCTGGGGTGAAAGTTGCTGGAAGAAACATTAACAACCTTAGATATGCAGATGACACCACTCTGATGGCCGAAAGCGAGGAGGAGCTGAGGAGCCTTCTAATCAAGGTGAAAGAAGAAAGCGCAAAAGCTGGGTTGCAGCTAAATGTCAAAAAAACCAAGATTATGGCAACAAGAATGATTGACAACTGGAAAATAGAGGGAGAAATCGTGGAGGCCGTGACAGACTTTGTATTTCTAGGTGCAAAGATTACTGCAGATGCAGACTGTGGCCAGGAAATCAGAAGACGCTTACTTCTTGGGAGGAGAGCAATGTCCAGTCTCGATAAAATAGTAAAGAGCAGAGACATCAGACTGGCAACAAAGATCCGCCTAGTCAAAGCCATGGTATTCCCTGTAGTAACCTACGGATGTGAGAGCTGGACCTTAGGGAAGGCTGAGCGAAGGAAGATCGATGCTTTTGAACTGTGGTGTTGGAGGAAAGTTTTGAGAGTGCCTTGGACTGCGAGAAGATCACCAGTCCATACTCCAGGAAATAATGCCCCACTGCTCACTGGAGGGAAGGATATTAGAGGCAAAGATGAAGTACTTTGGCCACATAATGAGAAGACAGGAAAGCTTAGAGAAGACAATGATGCTGGGGAAATGGAAGGAAAAAGGAAGAGGGGCCGACCAAGGGCAAGATGGATGGATGGCATCCTTGAAGTGACTGGACTGACCTTGAAGGAGCTGGGGGTGGTGACGGCCGACAGGGAGCTCTGGCGTGGGCTGGTCCATGAGGTCACGAAGAGTCGGAGATGACTGAACGAATGAACAACAACATTTGAGTATATACAGTAGTTTGTGTCAGCTACAAAACAAAATTTCTGGAGTATAACAACTACTTTCAAAGCAAGGTCTGCACAAATATACAGGAAATAACACTTTCAAACCAGGAACAGATTTTTTTTCCAAATTTTGTTACATAGTGTAATTATACATCTCAGATTTGCTGACACAAACCAGCCCATGCTTGGGATGTTGTAGAGACCTTCCACCTCGCTGCTGTTAGGATTGCTTTGGGAACCATGAATGTAAACTTAAACTGTGGCTTCACTCATCCACTGGTTTTAATTATGAACAGACACATAGCCGTCAACACTTACCCACTAGGAATATGTTTAACAATGCCCGCATTGTATTTTTTCTCCAGGTCAGCTCCATACGAAATGCCAGTGGCTACTATAGTCTGGAATAAAAACAATTAACAGTACAGATACAGAAGACAGGCATTGTCCTTCTGCCAATTTGCTCCCTTGAGTTTCTTTAAAATTGTTGTCTTACCACAATCACTTCTATAGGAATTGGGACAGGGATCTTGTGCTTGAATTTATCATTTATTTCTTTCACCACCATACAGATGATAATAGTCAGCAGGCCAGCAATAAGGTCAGCAATGTTGGTCATTGCAATATTTTGAAATATTTCTATCAGGGTCTAAAAGAAAGAATGAAAGAAAGAACAGAAAATTATCTTTTCAAAGACACAGAGATAATTATTGCTCAAGATAACATCGGACAATAATCTTAGTCCATTTATTGGGTTTTTGTTGAAGTTGCAGAGATCCGACTAGTGCAATTTGGAGCCTGTCATTTTTACAACAACTCCACTCATTCCCAACCAACACTGGTCAGAATTTGGGGATAATATGTATTGTATATGCATTTTTGCCCAGAAAACAATATTTTATATGCAAAAAATATTACTGTGCAGGAAATGCCATATGTAATAGTCATGATTCTGTCACTGATATTGAAAACAGTGGGTTGTTGTAGGTTTTTTCTGGCTATATGGCCATGTTCTAGAAGCATTCTCTCCTGACGTTTCGCCTGCATCTATGGCAAGCATCCTCAGAGGTTGTAAGGTCAGTGATTCTGGCCATGAAAGCCTTTGACAAGATATTGAAAACAGTTTACACATTAAACACTACTGAATGAGTCATTTACTCCATGGTTCCTCTGTTCCCCAACTGATCAACATTATCAATGTTAGGTTCTTGCGGGTTTTTTCGGGCTATATGGCCATGTTCTAGAGGCATTTTCTCTTGACGTTTCGCCTGCATCTATGGCAAGCATCCTCAGAGGTAGTGAGGACCTCACTACCTCTGAGAATGCTTGCCATAGATGCAGGCGAAACGTCAGGAGAAAATGCCTCTAGAACATGGCCATATAGCCCAAAAAAAACCCACAAGAACCTATTGATTCCAGCCATGAAAGCCTTCGACAATATATTATCAATGTTGACAATGCCTAATCAGCTATATAGTCTCCAGTTGCTATACATTGCAATCCATGTACTATGTAGTTAAAGAATAATTAGTATTCATATTTTTCTCATCTAAATATGATTTTATGAATTGCACAGTAAAGAAAAGACCACCTTTCCTCCCATTATCTCCTATATAGGTAAAGGTAAAGGTTTTCCCCTGACATTAAGTCTAATCGTGTCCAAATCTGGAGGTTGGTGCTGATCTCCATTTCTAAGCTGAAGAACCGGCGTTGTCCGTAGACACCTCCAAGGTCATGTGGCCAGCATGACTGCATGGAGCACCGTTACTTTTCCGCCTGATCTACTCACATTTGCATGTTTTCGAACTGCTAGGTTGGCAGAAGCTGGGGCTGACAGCGGAAGCTCACGCTGATCTTTTCTATATAATATTGTTGATTTAGATCAGGGGTCCTCAAACTTTTTAAATAGAGGGCCAGGTCACAGTTCCTCAAACATGTTTGAAAAAAAACATGAATGAATTCCTTTGCACATTGTAGTGCAAAAAATACTTAAAAACAATACAATAATTAAAATGAAGATTTTTTTTTTTACAAATATAATCTTATTAGTATTTCAATGGGAAGTGTGGGCCTGCTTTCGGCTGATGAGATAGGATTGTTGTTGTTGTTGTTGTTGTTGTTGTGTGCTTTCACATCATTTCAGACTTAGGTTGACCCTGAGCAAGGGCCGGGTAAATGACCTTGATGGGCCGTATCCGGCCCCCGGGCCTTAGTTTGAGGACCCCTGATTGGTAGAATGAAGGTTAAATGATTAAGGGTGTATCTACACTGTAGAATTAACACGATTTGACACCACTTGACTCAATGCTATGGAATCATGGAAGTTGTATTTTTTACACAGGGGCGGCTCAACCCATTACGCAAAGTAAGCATTTGTAGTATAGTTGATTTTGCCCAGGGGCGCTCTTGAGGCACTCTTCGGGGAAAACAGACCTTGATACATGCAAGTTGTAGTTACTGGGATGTATAGTTCACCTGCAATCAAAGAGCATTCTGAACTCCACCAATGATGGAATTGAACCAAATATGGCACACAGAACTCCCACAACGAACAGAAAATATATATCAGTGATTTTTTGGGGGGGGGGGGCGCCAAAATACTGTTTGCTTACTGTTGAAAATTACCGAGGGCCGCCTCTGTTTTTACAAGAGCTCTTTCATAGTCTGCCAAAAAGCCTTTTCACACAGCCATATAACCCAGAATATCAAGGCAGATAATCCACAATATCTGCTTTGAATTGGGTTATTTGAGCCCACACTGCCATATAATCCAGTTCAATGTGGATTTTATACAGCTGTGTGGAAGGGATCATAGAGTGCTGGTGCCTCATCGGACTACAAACCCATACATTCTACACTCTGTACACAACAGAACTCAATTTAGGGAAGCATACTTACATATATTATAGAAAGAACTCCATTGTAATTTGCCGTTGGAACATTTAAGACGATTTTCAGTTGTGAGACTAACACTTGAAAAGCAGCTGCAGTTGTAAAACCTCCAACCAGCGGGTCCGCAAGATACCTCACAATGAAACCAATTTGGAATACACCAAACAGCAGCTGGGGGGAAAAAGAAGACACTCCAAGTCATTTCAGAACATGATTTTAATAATCCGGGACTGAGATGTTCAACCACACAGTTATGTCAAATAATGTTTTTCATTGCGTGGGCTCGCACACACACATACACTGCATTGTGTATGGCGAAGCCACGGCATCCATTTTGGGAAAGGGAGACAGGGAGACACCATCTTAGGTTAGGTTTGCCTTAAGGGAGTGTGTTCTAGTCTTGGAGGGAAAGTTAGAAGGCTAGGATTGGTTAGGAAGATGGGAGGCGTAGCCTAAGGGTTCTAAAAGAAAAACTGTCTTTTAAACTGAGGTCTGAGGTCCCAGTTGGTGAGTTGGTTTTTGAAAAGGGTAGCGAAAAGATGTGTGGGTGTTAGCGAGAGCAGTTTGGGTTTTGAACAGTTATTGAGGAAATAGCTGGAATACTGTTTTGTGGAGCAGAACCCCGTTAGTGGTCTGTTCTTTTCCTAAGGAAGTCTAGTTCAGGGTTTTTCGCTAGATTCCTAAGGGGGATTTTTGGGAGTTACTTTCAGAGATTCATTTCCTGAAGTAATTTTCTGTGTCGAAACTTTGAAGACTTGTAACCCAGAAGTTTTTAAGATCTTTACTCAAACACAACCACAAGCTTTTTATACCAGTATTTTACTGAAACCATTAAGCATTTGTACCTGAATATTTCAAGCCTGTTCCATAAACGTTCTTGTTATTTTTATCAACTTATACCAGCCTCAGTGTGAATACCTTTATTTATTTATTATTTATTATTTACCTTACTTATATACCGCTGTTCTCAGCCCGAAGGCGACTCACAGCGGTTCACAACAAATACGAACAGCAAAGATTCAGTGCTACAGTATAAAAACAGTTAACAACCTAACACATTACACAATTAATAAACAGTTACTACAATACCCATTCACTGTCGTCTTGTCATCAAAAACATGATCCAGATTCGTCATCCATTGTTCCATTCCAGTGTTCATTAACCAATCATTGCACTAATTATTCGAACGCCTGCTCAAACAGCCAGGTCTTCACTTTTTTGCGGACTACCATTAGAGATGGTGCTAGTCTAATGTCCGTAGGAAGGGTGTTCCACAGCCGAGGAGCCACCACCGAGAAGGCCCTATCTCTCGTCCCCGCCAGCCGTGCTTGAGAAGCAGGCGGGATCGAGAGCAGGGCCTCCCCGGAAGATCTCAAAGTCCTGGTGGGTTCATAGGCAGAGATGCGGTCAGATAGGTAGCTTGGGCCGGAACCGTTTAGGGCTTTAAAGGCCAACGCCAGCACTTTGAATTCAGCCCGGTAGCAGATCGGTAGCCAGTGGAGTTGGCGCAACAGGGGGGTTGTATGCTCCCTGCGCTCCGCTCCTGTTAAAATCATGGCTGCCGAGCGTTGGACTAGTTGGAGCTTCCGAGCTGTCTTCAAAGGCAACCCCACGTAGAGAGCGTTGCAGTAGTCTAAACGGGATGTAACCAGAGCGTGGACTACCGTGGCCAAGTCAGACTTCCCAAGGTACGGGCGCAGCTGGCGCACAAGCTTTAGCTGTGCAAATGCTCCCCTGGTCACCGCCAAAACCTGGGGTTACAGGCTCAGCGATGAGTCCAGGGTCACACCCAAGCTGCGAACCTTTGTGGTCAAAGCATTATTCCAGTCAGCTTTCAGCAGCCTCTAAGAAAACTATAGTGACACAGAGTGTGTTACTGAACAACCTCTCAAGAATACCTCAGCCTGTTTATTATTAATATGGTGGCAGCGGAAATCTTTTGAAGAATTATTTTAAGTCTCTTAGTTCTAGTGGTTCCCAGTTCCTAACTTTTAAATAGACAGTTGTTTCAGCAACCATACTCCCTCTATATTTTTGGTGAGCTAGTCAATAGTGGTAGTGTCATTGTTATAATTTGGCTGAGCAGCGTTGGGATTGTTTTATATATATTTTCCCATATATAAATTTAATTTAAAATCTTCTCTATTACTTGCTGGCGTTGTTATATATGGCCATGTTCTAGAAGCATTCTCTCCTGACGTTTCACCTGCATCTTTGGCAAGCATCCTCAGAGGTCATGAGGATGCTTGCCACAGATGCAGGCGAAACGTCAGGAGAGAATGCTTCTAGAACATGGCCATACAGCTCGAAAAACCTACAATAACCCAGTGATTCTGGTCATGAAAGCCTTCAAAAATACACTTTAAATCTCCTTTAGCTCTAGCTGAGCAAAAACATTTCATGGATTGCTACAATACTGCTTTTTTCAATTGTGATATAGTTTTCTCAGTTATATAATGAATCATACAAATAACATTTTGAGGCAGTTTTGAGCGGTTGCATTACCTGGATTATGCCCACCAAAAAGCTGACAGTACTGGAAATCAGTACCCTCTGTGCATCTCTGGCATCAGTGTCTATGAGTGTTTTATTCAGTCCGGTCAAGTTGCTGCTAAGCACACGGAAATTTTCATCAGGTGCCATGCTCAATACTACTGATCCCACCATTAAACTGACCACAGGAAAAGGTCCTGTTGAGAGAAATGAAACATTTAAAATGCACACTGCACTGTGGGTTGGATCAAGATTTAGATGCATGCAAGGGTCCTTCTACACAGCCATATAACACAGAATATCAAGGCATTGTTGTGGGCTGCTATAGCACCGCACCTAATGTCCCGGGCCCTCTAGAAATTTTGAGCTTGCAATAGCTTTGACCCGGTCTTTTAAATTGCCTTGAACAGGCTGGATTATTTTTAAATATATATGTGCTACTGTGACTTTTGATGCCTATACTAGCCGTCCCCTGCCACGCATTGCTGTGGCCCAGTCTGGTGATCTGGAAAATAAAGCTCCATCTGTGTTCCTACTTGGGCATATGGAGTATTCGTGCCAAGTTTGGTTCAGATCCATCATTGTTTGAGTCCACAGTACTTTCTGGATGTAGGTTTACTACAACTCCCAAACTCAACGTCAATGCCCACCAAACCCTTCTAGTATTTTCTATTCATCACAGAAGTCCTGTGTGCCATGTTTGGTTCAATTCCATCATTGGTGGATTATAGGTGAACTATAAATCCCAGCAACTACAACTCCCAAATGTCAAGGTCTATTTCCCCCAAGCTCCTTCTGTGTTCATATTTGGGCATATGGAGTATTTGAACCTGCGACCTGTCGGTCTTCAGTCCTGCCAGCACAGGGCTTTAACCCAGAGGCGGATGAGCTCCCTCTATCAGCTCCAGCTCCTCATGTGGGGACATGAGAGAAGCCTCCCACAAGGATGATAAAACATCAAAAACATCCTGGCGTCCCCTGGGCAACATCCTTGCAGACGGCCAATTCTCTCACAAAAGGAGCGGTCGCTCCTGACACGACAAAAAATAAAATAAAATATGGAGTATTGGAGAAAATAGATCTTGACATTTGGGAGTTGTAGTTTCTGGGATTTATAGTTCACCTACAATCAAAGAGCATTCTGAAGTCCATAAACAGTGGAACTGAGCCAAACTTGTCACACAGCACTCCGATGACCAACAGAAAATACTGGAAATATTTGGTGGGCATTGACCTTGAGTTTTGGAGCTGTAGTTCACCGGAATCCAGAGAGCACTGTGGACTCAAACAATGATGGATCTGGACCAAACGTGGCACAAATACTCGATAGGCCCAAATGTGAACACTGGTGGGGTTTGGAGAAAATAGATCTTGACATTTGGGAGTTGTAGTTGTTGAGATTTATAGTATCCCTACAATCAAAGAGCATTCTGAAGTCCATAAACGGTGGAATTGAGCCAAACTTGTCACACAGCACTCTCATGACCAACAGAAAATACTGGAAGGGTTTGGTGGGTATTGACCTTGAGTTTTGGAGTTGTAGTTCATCTGGATCCAGAGAGCAATGAGGGATCTGGACCAAGCTTGGCAGAAATACTCAATATGCTCAAATGTGAACATTGGTGGGGTTTGGAGAAAATAGATCTTGACATTTGGGAGTTGTAGTTGCTGGGATTTATAGTTCACTATAATCAAAGTGCATTCTGAACTCTACCCATGATAGAATTGGGCCAAACTTCCCATGCAGAACTCCTCTGTCTTAAGGGACTTGCTGGTGCGAGCCTCCCTCCAGCCTTGCATGCTCTCCCTCGCCTGCACATGCACACTATCCCCTCCCCACTTGGAGTCTCAGAAACAGCCCTCCCCTTGGCTGAGCGGCCGGCCAATCACAGCAGAGGAGGGCCTGTGGTGGGAGGATTTGTTATCTATTTCCAAAAAGAAAGAGAAAGACAGGCGGGGAGATCTTCAGCCTTCTCTGCCAAAGGGATTCCTAAGACCATCAGAAATATATGTTTTCTGATGGTCTTTGGCAACCCCTCTGAAACCCCCTTGTGACCCCCACCCCCGGATCCCGACCCCCAGGTTGAGAAACGCTGTATTAGAGCAATCTGGACCCCCAGACATCACTATCTTGGAAAAATCATTTTTTTTAAAAAAAACTGCTGATATTTGTTAAAATGTGCAGTGCATAGTTACCAACTGAGATGTGTCGAGATGTTCCCAGGAAGAAATACGGCAAGATGGGGAAAAAAGCGGAGTACAGGCCATAACCAATTGGCACCCCAACGAGTAATGCATACGCCAAACCTAAGATGTAGAAAATCAAAATGTTCATTAGTCTCATAATGGCTTTCTGAAAGCTGACATTCATGATTAAAAGTACACTTTGCTTTCTCCACGGGGATAGTCCACATTTGTGTTTCACGGCTGAAGTTCCTTTGCATATACAAATCTGAGAAGTTAGATTTTCAGCATGATTTGATTAATTCATAATCAGAATTGACTGAAATGTTTGGGATTGAAGTAAATCTGGGTAGCAAGAAACAAGATGCTTTTGAGTACTGGGCTACAGGTGTGTGTGTCTACACCAGGGGTCCTCATACTTTTTAAACAGAGGGCTGGGTCACACTCCCTAAAAAGTGTTGGAGGGCCAGATTATAATTTGAAAAAAACATGAATGAATTCCTATGCACACTGTAACTATCTTATTTGTAGTGCAAAAAACACTTTTAAACAATACAATAATTAAAATGAAGAACAATTTTAACAAATATAAACTTGGGGAGGTGGCAGGTGCAGCGGCCCCATAGCRGCTTCACCTGCCACCTCCCCCCCTTCTCCTGCCTTCGGGATGAGGCGAGGCCCCGTCCTGAAGGCAGGAGAAGAGCAGGTTGGGCCCAGGGAGGCGGCGGGCAAAGCGGCCCCAAAACTGCTTCGCCCACCACCTCCCCCCTTCTCCTACCTTTGGGATGAGGCYAGGCACCATCTCYAAGGCAGGAGAAGAGCAGGCTGGGGCCAGGGAAACGACGGGTGAAGCGGCCCCAAAGCTGCTTCGCCCGCTGCCTCCCCCCCTTCTCCTGCTTTCGGGATGAGGCGAGGCCCCGTCCCGAAGGCAGGAGAAGACCAGGCTGGGCCCAGGGAAGCAGCGGGCGAAGCGATCCCAAAGCTGCTTCGCCCGCCGCCTCCCCCCCCCTCCTGCCTTTGGGATGAGGCAAGGCCCCACCCGAAGGCAGGAGAAGAGCAGGCTGCGCCCAGGGAGGCGGTGGGCAAAGTGGCCCCAAAGCTGCTTCGCCCGCCGCCTCTCACCCTTTCCACACCCCGCGGGCRGGATAAATGCCTTCGGGGGCAGGGGCCGGCCCATGGGCCGTAGTTTGAGGACCCCTGGTCTACACTGTAGATTTAATGCACTTTGATACCACTTTAACTGCCATTGCTCAGTGCTATAGAATTGTAGGAGTTGTACTTTGGTAAGGCTCCAGCACTCTTTGAAAGAGAAGGCTGAAAACCTTGTAAAACTACAAGATCCCTGATTTCATAGGATTGAGCCAGGGCAGTTAAAGAAGTGAGAAACAGAATTCTTTCTCCAGTGCAGACCCAACCCAGGACTTTGAACAATAGGGCTCAAACCCCTGCTTGGCTATAGATACCTATTGGGTGACCTTGGACAAGTCACACTCTCTCATTCTCAAAGGAAGGCAATGGCAAGGCCTCCTCTGAACAAATCTCATCAAGAAATTCCTTTGATAGGTTTGCTTTTGAGTGGACGTAAGTAAAATAAAATGCATGAAAGTACACAAGAACAGAAAATCTGTGTAATGTTTTATAGCCAGAGAAGCACCCAAGTACTACTCAAACAGCCATATTAGATTGTTAAAGTAAAACAAGTGAAAATTCTTGTGACACTTCAAAGATGATAGGTTTATTTAGCACAACCTTTTGTGTATTTTGACCAGGCCCCTTCTACACTGCCATATAAAATCCAGATTATCTGCTTTGAACTGTAATATATGACTGTGTAGACTCATATAATCCAGTTCAAAGCAGATAATGTGGATTATTTGATTTGATAATCAGGATGATAAGGCAGTGTTGAAGGGATCTCAGTATTTATTCATCTGGTGTTCATAAAAACCTAAAATGAATCAAAGTTGTCAATCTCTAATATGGCATAAGATTCCTTGAAGTTTTTGCCATAGTAAAAAATAACAACAGATCTGCTTTCTTAAATATATTGATGAAAAATTGTACATTGCTTATATGATGACGGTGAATATAACTGGAAAACATAGTTCGTACATGTGTACAAACACCAGAATCAAGACAGTAAATAAAGAACACCACTCAAAAACAGAGGAATTCCAGAAAGCAAACAACCAAGTGCCAGTTAACACCTCCCAAACAAAGGGTGCCCCCAGGCAGTAACAGCCAGGCTTTGAAACTGCAAGGCTACTCAATGCTAATCAAGCTGGCTAATTCCAACATTTACACTTGCTTCAAACAGACAAGAGTTCTTTCTTCCACATGTAAATAATAATAATAATAATAATAATAATAATAATAATATCTTATTATTATTATTATTATTATTATTATTATTATTATTATTACATACATGTGGAATAAATTTCATGGTGGAACAAAGAATTCTTGGTATTATTATTATTATTATTAATAATAATAATAATAATAATAATAATAATAACGAAACATCAAACTACTCTGGGACTTCCGAATTCAGACTGACAGAGTTTTGGAGCACAATGCTCCTGACCTCACGATTGTGTTAAAAAACAAACTATGGATTGTCGATGTTGCAATTCCAGGTGACACTAGGATTAAAGAGAAACAACTGGAAAAGCTGACACGATATGAGGATTTAAAGATCGAACTGCAAAGACTCTGGAACAAGTCAGTCAAAGTGGTCCCAGTGGTGATTGGCACACTGGGTGCAGTGCCTAAAGACCTTGGCCTTCACTTAAACACAATCAGCGCTGGTTTGGAAAATACAAAGTACCTGACAGGAAACCAGGAAACCAGTTTGCATTTAATGGAGAATTTAAAGACAGGGACTTTGCCATTGATGTTATCAAAAGCACACATGAATTTTGGAAGGCGCTAGTAACTTAAAAAACAGATGGGGTCTGTTACTGGGATCTGTACTCATTATTCACTGATACATCACACAGTCCTAGACATTTGGGAAGTGTCCGACATGTGTCCGACATCAAACTGCAAAGACAAGCACAAACTAGTAAAGGTGGTCCCAGTGGTGATCGGCACACTGGGTGCAGTGCCTAAAGACCTTGGCCTGCACTTAAACACAATCAGCGCTGACAAAATTACTATCTTCCAGCTGCAGAAGGCCACCTTACTGGGATCTGCACGCATTATTCGCTGATACATCACACAGTCCTAGACACTTGGGAAGTGTCCGACAGTCAGCAGAGTGATTTTGTTTGCTGTGGACTCATCTTGTTGTGTTTCAAATAATAATAATAATAATAATAATAATAATAATAATAATAATAATAATATTTATAGGCCTCCCAATCTCCACAGGGGGGCTCACCCCACTTGCCTCATTTCCAACAGACCTCTGAACAAACCTCTGAGGTTGCCTGCCATAGATGCAGGTGAAATGTCAGGAGAGAATGCTACTAGAAAATAGCCATACAGCAATCCAGTGATTCCAGCCATGCAAGCCTTTGACAACACATAGTTTGTACAGCCGATATACAACACCATTTCTTTCCTCTGTGAGACTAGATCAATGGGGAGAAAAAGTACTATGTTTGTATCTCACTTACCCTGTAAAGTAGCCACAAGTCCTGTACTGATCCCAGAAATTACATCGCTGAGGAGCCATTCTTTAACCCGGTACTTGGGCAGCCACTCCAGAATAGGTAATAAAGTCTTGGTTACCTGGACGGCTTTCTTTTTTGAACAGCTGCCAAGGACAAAATGTGACATTGTGAGTGTTACACTGCGAAACCCTCCCATTCCCCTGCCATGGGCCACCCCCACTCGTTGCAGGACAAGACTTTCCCTCCTCGCCCAAAAGCCAATGCATGCCAGTCATTCACCTGCAGGTTTTCTGGACTCGTTCCCGGAGTGTTTTGGGCACCACCAGCCTTCTCTCATACTCCTCTTGGAAGTTCACCTCGTTGTAGATGGGCCGGGCCACAACATAGCGGCCGAGCTCTGGGAGGGCCCCGTCGGGCCCCCCGCCTGCTGCCATGCTCCTGCCCTGCCTAGGAAGGAAAAACAATGGGAAAAAAAGTCACATTTTCAAAGCACACAGCCTCCAAAAGGCAGCCAGCCATCAAGGACAGAACACCCCCTGAGTTTCACTCGCACCTGGAGAACCCAGGAGAATTTGGCCAATGGCAATGGCATCAGGTGCCAATTCCTTCCCACCACATCAACCTTGCTACTGGGACTGTCTCTCCTTAAAATATATATTTTACAACATTTTGACAGTCCAGTCCAGATATTACATTATGTAACATGTTTTTTGTCCCTAGAATCATCGAGCTGGAAGAGACCTCATGGGCCATCCAGTCCAACCCCCAGGAAAATTGCACTCAAAGCACCCCCGACAGATGGCCATTCAGCCTCTGTTTAAAAGCTTCCAAAGAAGGAGCCTCCACCACACTCCTGGGCAGAGAGTTCCACTGCTGAACATCTCTCACAGTCAGGAAGTTCTTCCTAATGTTCAGATGGAATCTCCTTTCTTGTAGTTTGTAGAAAGGAGATTCCATCTGAACATTAGGAAGAACTTGGATTATGAATGTCCTTAGGTTATGAATGCATTTCCTAATTGGATCTATCATAAAAACATGGACAAAGTTTATTTACTCAGTTCTCGTGGTTTTTTTCGGGCTATATGGCCATGTTCTAGAGGCATTTCTCCTGACGTTTCGCCTGCATCTATGGCAAGCATCCTCAGAGGTGAGGTCTGCTGGAACTGGGAAAAAAAATATAAACCCCTTCTTCCCCCGGACTGCTAGGGCTGTTGTGAGCAGAGGGGGCGCTCCTCAAGTGGCGGTCGAGGGACATTTACAGAGGCCCCTCTGCACCCCTGGCAAAAAAAGGTGTACCGCAACCACTTACTTTGCGTAATGGATGAGCCGCCCCTGTTACTATATTGTACTATACCATTTATTTACGACATTTATATGCCACCCTTCTCACCCTGAAGGGGACTCAGAGCGGCTTACATATATATATATATATATATATATATATATATATATATATATATATACACATACATACATACATTATATTATATTATTAGCATAGCACAATATCAGTATTATAGATTACTATATTGTACTATACCATTTATTTACGGCATTTATATGCCGCCCTTCTCACCCCGAAGGGGACTCAGAGTGGCTTACAAGATATATATACATACAATATATTATATTATTAGCATAGTACAATATCAGTATTATATACTATATTGTACTATACCATTATATTATAATATTATTAGTAATATTACATGTAATATAAAATATGTAATTATTGTATATAATTATAAAATTATTTTATATATTTATAAAAATTTATTAAACTGCAAAAACTTTGTTTTTGCAGGACATCCTGCAGCACATTTTGCTATAGTTTTTCAATGAATATTTCACGGAGTCTCAACCAATTCAACGTAGTTTGTGGCAGCCACAAAAATGAAGTTTCTGGACAACTACTTGCGAAGTCAGTACAGCATAATTAAACAGGAAAAAACACTTTTCTACGTTTTGTTACTTAGTGCTATTCAACATTTTATATATCCTACTCAGGGACTCCACTGCAGAATTAATTCTTTTTGACACCATTTTGTCTGGCAGGGCTCAATGCTATGACATTGTGGGAGTTATAGTTTCACAAGGTCTTTAGCCTTCTCTATCAAGGAGGGCTGGTGTCTCACCAAATGACAAATGCAATACTTCCATAACATTGAATCATGGCAGTCAAAGTATTGTCGCACTGCATTAATTCTACAATATACTGCCATATAATCCAGATTATCAAAGCAGATAATCCATATTATCTCATTCTTAATGTCGCCATATGACCTATGCATTTTATTTACTAGGCCTATTCTCTGAATTGTTGTGCACCAGTCTGCCCACCCACATCGAGACTTGAATTATGCTATTGTTCTTGGTTTTGATGCTTGTTTTATATTTTGCTATAATGCTGTTTTATGTTATTTTAAATTGATGTTATGCATTCTAATATTTCTATGTTTTTAACTCTGTTGATTGAACTTGGCTCCATGTAAGCCGCCCCGAGTCCCTTTGAGGAGATGGAGGTGGGGTACAAAAATAAAATATTATTATTATTATTATTATTATTATTATTATTATTATTATTATTAGCTGTACCTGCCACACAATGCTGTGGCCAACCATCCCTCCTTCTTCTCTCCTTTTCCTTTCCTTCCTCCCTCTTCCCCTTCCTTCCCTTTTTCTTTCCTTCTCTCCTTCCTTCTATACCTCTTTCCTTCCTTCCCCCTTTTCTTCTCCTTTCCTTCCCTCCTTCCTTCGCTCCCTCTTCCTTCCTTCCTCCCTTTTCCTTCTTCCTCCTTCCTTCTCTCCCTCTTTCTTCCTCTCCTTCCTTTTCTTTCCTCTCCCTTCCTTCCTTCTCTGCCTCTTTCCTTCCTCCCCCTTTTTTTCCTCCTCTTCTTCCTTCTTCCTTCTCTACCTCTTTCCTTCCTCTTTTTCTTCTCCTTCCTTCTTTTCTTTCCCTCCCTATTTCTCTCCTTCTCCCTTCTTCTTCACTCCCTCTTTCCTTCCTTCCATTTCTTCTTTCCTCTCCTTCCTTCTCTATTTTCCTCCTTCCTCCTTCCTTCTTCTTCACTTTTTGCTTCCCTCCTTCCTTCTCTCTTTCCTTCCTCCCTCTTTCCTTCCTCTCTCCTCTTTCTTCTTTTCCCTTCTCTCCTTACTTCCTTCTCTTCCTCTTCTTTCCTTCCCCCCTTTTATTTCCTCTTTCTCTCCTTTCCTCCTTCCAACACATCTTCCATCACATTAGCTGTATCCGCCACACGTTGCTGTGGTCAACCTTCCCTCCCTCTTTCATCCTTCCTTCTCCCTCTTCCTTCCTTCCCTTTTTGCTTTCCTTCTCTCTTCCTTCTCTCTCTTTCCTTCCTTCCCCTTTTTTTCCCTTCCTCTTTCTCTCTTCTTCCTTCTCTACCTCTTCTTTCCTTCTCCTCTTCCTCCTCTTTCTTTTTTCCCTCCTCTTTCTTTCTCTTTCTCACCTTCCTTCCCTCCCTCCCTCTTCCTTCCCTTTTTTCTGTATCGTCATTTAGCTTTTGGGGTCTTTTAAGTCCTTTCTGCTGTATTTTTTTGGGGGGGAGGGGGTTATGAGTGATAGTCACTCATTGGTCTGTTAGGGGTATAGTGTCCAAATTTGGTGTCAATTCGTCCAGTGGTTTTTGAATTATGTTAATCCCACAAACGAACATTCCATTTTGATTTATATAGATTATTATTACAATATTATTATTATTATTATTATTATTATTATTATTATTGAGGAGCCCCCAGTGGCACAGTGGGTTAAAGCACTGAGCTGCTGAGCTTGTTGACCAAAAGGTTGCAGGTTTGAATCCGGGGAGTGGCGTGACCTTCCGCTGTCAGCCCCAGCTTCTGCCAACCTAGCAGTTCAAAAACATGCAAATATGAGTAGATTAATAGGGAAAGTAATGGCGCTCTATACAGCCATGCCGGCCACATGACCTTGGAGGTGTCTACAGACAACACCGGCTCTTTGGCTTAGAAATGGAGATGCTTACCTATTATTATTATTATTATTATTATTATTATTATTATTATTATAGTCTGTATTGCATATGGCAGTGGAGAAGGGGCCTCAGACATTTTGATGTCACTCCTGGTGCCCTTCAACACTGATATATAATCCAGAATATCAAAACAGATTTTTTTTTGGTCATGTTAGGAGTGAATTGAGAAACTGCAAGTCGCTTCTGGTGTGACAGAATTGGCCGTCTGCAAGGACGTTGCCCAGGGGACACCCGGATGTTTTGATATGTTATCATCCTTGTGGGAGGCTTCTCTCGTGTCAGCTGGAGCTGACAGAGGGAGCTCATCCGCGCTCTCCCCGGATTCGAACCTGTGACCTGTCAGTCTTCAGTCCTGCCGGCACAGGAGTTTAACCCACTGCGCCACAATGAAGACAGATAATCCACACTATCGGATTTGATCTGGATTATCTGAGTCTACATTGCAATATAATCCAGTTCAAAGTAGATAATCTGGGGGGGGGGGGTTTGTGTAGAAGGGGCCCTAGAGGATGAAATGAGAATGCTGGCTTCTGTCCTGCAAGGAAATGTTCCTCTTTTCCCTAGATTTCTTGCATTTGCATCAAAAAAGAGGCACTGAAGTAGATCAATATCTTAGGAGATTTGTTGGGTTTCCATTGCCTGCAAATGAAGTTTCAAAGTACAAATGTGGGGACTGGGGAAAAAAGCTTAGCACCCACCTTGCCTTCCAGGAGAAGGTCCCTTCTTTGCGCTGTCCGGGTCCTGAAAGGGCGGCTCTTTCTCTCTCTCTCCCTCTCTTTCTCTCTCCTTCTTTCTTTCAGTCTATCACTCCCAGAGCCCAGAAGGCAGCTGCCCCCGAGGCGGCCTTTATATGTCCCTCGTGGCCTCTCCTCGCCTTTGCTTTTGTTTAGGGGCAAACAGAGGCATCCGGTTGGGCGGCAGCAAGGGAAGGCGTCTGGCCCACGGGACACCCAGCCTGGCTCCACCTGACAGGCCCGCTCTGCACCTGGGGAGGCTGCGGAGGGAGCAGGGACACACACCAAAAAGGGGGCAGGAGACAAGAGACAGGCAAAGGCAGGCAGGCAGGCAGGCGCGCACATCACCAACCAGTTGCAATGACTCCGAACTTTCTTTGCAGTTGCCATTGATCTGCTCTCTATATAAAACTGAAAGTATGGATGTGTCTATCATCTGTCTGTCTATCTATCTATCTATCCTAGCTTATCTCTCTCTCTCCTATCTATCCTAGCCTATCTACCCAGCCTATCTATCTAGCCTACCTATCTATCTATCCTATCTAGCCAGCCTATCTATCTATCTATCTATCTATCTACCTATCTATCCATCCATCCATCCATCCTATCTATCCTATCTATCTACCTATCTATCCTAGCCTATCTACCTATCTATCTAGCCTATCTACCTATCTATCCTAGCCTTCT